GAGACTTTAAACAGTAAAATAAAATATTACACACTATACTAAAATATAGCTCATAAGGATAACCTGGAACACAGTTAAACAGTGAACAGAGTACAAAAATGTGTACATCAGAATTCTGTTTAAAGCCTAGATAATGTAGAGCATAGATAACATAGAGCATAGTTAATCAGTGAACAGAAAACAAAAATGTGTACATCAAAATTTGTTTAAAGCCTAGATAATGTATAGCATAGTTAATCAGTGAAAAGAAAACAAAAAATCTGTATAGCAAAAAACTGCTTAAAGCCTAGAAAATGTAGAGCATAGATAATGTACAGCTTAGTTAAACATTAAAAAGAAAACAATAATGTGTAGATAAAAATTCTGTTTAAACACTATATTTGGTTGAGCATAAATCTGTGTAGAGCCTAAAAAATAAACAGTAAAAGAAATATTAAACTGAACATCATACCTCTTTATCGCAAAACAACACTTCTCGACTCTTAATCTCTGTAGACCCTTTTTCAGGGATTTCGTAACATCTAACACACTTTACTCTGATGGCTTTCTCCCTATCGAGAGGACCAATATCCTTTACAGCTACGTACATTGACATGGTTTCTTTCTTTGCTGATTTGTTTGTTTTCTTTCTTCTGTTGGAAGGTGATACGAACTGAAGATAAGGTGGAGTGGGAGTGGATGTCTCCATAGTCATATGCTTATATACAATGTAATACTGCATTTCAAAATCTATGATGTTATCTTGGAAGTATGAATGCTGCGGACAACCTTTCAGTTTTCAAGAGGCATGGTGATCAGACTTGAGTCTCTTATATGAGTGTATTTATATTTATTTATTCGAGATTTGAGAAGTATGTTTCGAAGAAGTCTTTAATATAAAGAGTCTCTTTAGAAGTCTGTAACTAATAGAAGTCTATTTAAAATGCTTTATTTTAGTTGGTATTACCAAAAAATTAGCCGGCATAATTTAATTGCACGCGTTAATCTTTATTGAGCGCCATTTTACTGTAGACTTGAGTTTATATATATGAAGTGACGTCGTTTCATTTTGAGCGGGAAAATGGTTTAGATAGAAAGTTTTTGCTTTATTATAAATAAGAGATTACATAATACACATAAACTCATAGAGTAAAAGACATTTTTGGTCCTAGACTTATAGTGGCACGGACAATTTTGGTCCTCCATAAAAAAATCAGATAATTTGTGGACACTCTTATTGTGACGAGGACAATTTTGATCCTCCGTCGCACCTCCCGTTAGTTGCCTCGTTTGAGAAAGGGTATTTGTGTCTTTTTAGCCCTAAGAATTTTTCCTCTGCTCACGTCTCTCTGTAGTCTCTCTTTTCTCTCGTCTCCCTCAAGGAGTTTACTGGCGGCGAAGCAGGCCATGGAACAAGCAGTCACCATCTTCATCGCTTCTCTCTCTCGATCACCAGCAACGAACCAGTGGCGTAGCAGCTTCGGAGACCTCCGCATCACTTTCTCGTCCTCGGTTTCTTTAGTCCATAGCAGCTTCGGGACCTCCGCCATTACTTTCTCGTCCTCGGTTTCTTTAGTCCAACGACCTGCAGCAGGCGACGAAAGCAACACCCAGCAGATGACGCTCCACTCTAGTGACCTTTCTCACTCTCTTCGTCTCTCGTTTTCCTTGGGCGAAGGTGGTAGATCCGGTGAGCAGAAGGCAGAAAAGCGACAGATCGGGCGTCTTCCGGTCCGGTTCGAGCTTTTCCCCGCAATGAACGACAGCGGCGACCTCCAGCCCTGCTCCGGAGAAGTGGCAGAAATGGCGGCAGTTAGGATATCCATTTTCTCAATTTCCACTCTATTTTTCGTAATACCTTCACACAATCTGCTTCCTTTGTAAATTTAATGAGAACATTTCTCGAATCAAGAGATCCGATGTGCGCCTTACCTGTAATTGGAAGGATTTTTTGAAATTGAGCCTTAATTGCTTCAATTGGGGGCTTCTCCTTAAAAAACTTACCAATCAAGGTTAATTTCCTCTCTTTTTCTGCTAGATTTTCCCAATCTGATTTCTTAATTGAGACAATAGGCTTGCCTTTGTGTTTCCTTTGCGTAGCTGAACCCAGATTATCAGAAATTATACAGAAAAGCGCTACTCCGATCATGCTTCACAATTCTGATTTCGCACAATCTCTATTTCGCAATTATGCACCGTCTCTGCTTTGCGATTATGCACCGTCTCTACTTAGAGCATAAGGATTCAACCCAAGAGCATAAGAAAATTATTGAATTAAACCCAAAGGAAATTGTTTAGACCACTGAAACTTCATCTCCCTTTGGGTCTAATGGCTGGCTGAGAACGACAATGAAAAGGGTTGCAAAGTGAAGGAGAAGGAGGTGTGTTGTTGAAAAGACGCAATTACCCCGCTTCAAATGGGGCATCTAACGGGAATATTGACGAAGGACCAAAATTGTCCTCGTCACAATAAGAGTGTCCACAAATTGTCTGATTTTTTTAAGGATGACTAAAATTGTCCGTGCCACTATAAGTCTAGGACCAAAAATGTCTTTTACTCAAAACTCATAACATAATACACATAAAATTTTAACATAATACACATAAACTCTTAACTGAATACATATAAACTCTTAACATAATACACATAAACTCATAACACAATACACAGAAATTTTGAACTAAATACACATAATGGAGTTTGGTCCGTTTAAACGGACGGAGTGGCGTCCGTTACGTCAATCCTCGTCAAAAGTAATTGAAACGACGGTGTTTTGTACTTGGACGCACATTGTTATGTTTAGAAATTGCGCCTACTGAACATTGAGCTAAACTGTGCAGACTTATCTCAATAGTTGTCTAAGTGGTGATGTAATTGCAATTTTTTTATTATTATTATTTTTAATTAGAAACTCCACTTTCTAATGCTGATCATACTAGAGTTTGAAGGCAATTTTGAATTCAAAACAACCAATGTGTCACTTTATTGTTTGGTCTATCCAAATATTGCTCTTTATAGCTATTGTTGAGGTGCTGCCACACACATCATATTTGCATTGCCAAATAGTTGGAAAATGACCCCCTCTGATTGACACAGGAAAAATCATATTAATGTTTTAATAATCAAAACATAGGTTTTTCTTCTTTTATACTTTAATATATATACAAGTATTTCTTATGCCGCGATGCGCAAAAAATAGGTGCCCAATATTAATATTTTATATTAAAATTTTAAATTTATTTAGATTTTAAATATTTAAATTATTGTAAATAATAATAATAATAATAATAATAATAATAATAATAATAATAATAATAATAATAATGTAAAACATTTCTATAAATTAATATTTATATTTTAAGAAATAACTAACATATAACCCAATATATAATGTTATAGTATATTATTGTTATTATTATTTTAAATAAGAAAATATATGGTGGATGCATGTGCATGGGTAGCAATAGTGGAAAAGATAACGGAAGTTATAACTTTAGGGGTATGTTTGTCCAAAATATTGTATAGAACAACATTATCCTATAATGTATCATAAAACTTAATGAAAAAACGGACATAAATGAAGGGTATAACCTTCATCTACACTTATTATGTTTTTAGATTAGATTAGATATATATGTGTGTGTGTGTGTGTGTGCACCCAAGATCAAGTGGGAAGAGACGCTGTGAAATATGTGGATAAATTTGAGATGTTGATCTATTCAGATTAATGACTCGATTTTTTTTAACACTTATAATCTACAAAAATATGCACTCGCAGGTTTAAAATTGTGTATTCTGAAAGACACATAATTGTGCACTCTAAGACACAAAAATGTGCACTTAAAGACAAATTTGTGTACTCGAATGTCAAAATTGTGAACTCAAATGCTCAAAATTACGCACTCGAAGGCACTAAATTATGTACTCTAAGACAAAAATGTGCACTCAAAGATAGAAAACTATGCACTTGAAGAGAATAAAGTATGCACTCAAGAGATACAAGTAAAGATAACGGAAGTTATAACGGTAGGGTATGTTTGTCCAAAATATTGTATAGAACAACATTTATCGTATAATATATCATAAAACTTAACGGAAAAAAACAGACATAAATGAAGGGTATAACCTTCATCTACACTTATTATGTTTTAGATTAGATTAGATTAGATATATATGTGTGTGTGTGTGTGCGCCCAAGATCAAGTGGGAAGAGACGCTGTGAAATATGTGGATAAATTTGAGCTGTTGATCTATTCAGATTAATGACTTGATTTTTTAACACTTATAATCTACAAAAATATGCACTCGCTGGTTTAAAATTGTGTATTCTGAAAGACACATAATTGTGCACTCTAAGACACAAAAATGTGCACTTGAAGGACAAATTTGTGTGCTCGAAGGTCAAAATTGTGAACTCGAATGCTCAAAATTATGCACCCGAAGGCCGAAGACACTAAATTATGTACTCTAAGGCAAAAATGTGCACTCAAAGATAGAAAACTATGCACTTGAAGAGAATAGAGTATGCACTCAAAGAGATACAAGTATGCTCGAAGAGAATAATTATGTACTTGAAGAAAGAAAATAATGCACTTAAAACAAAAACATAAATACACTTAAAAAATTAATGGCTGAAATTTTTGTACATTTTTTACCTTGGAGCTCTTGCGCATTTGATCACTTTTATATCTAAAAACATAACAAGTGTGAATGAAAGTTATACCCCTCATTTATGTCCATTTTTTCGTTAAGTTTTTTGTACATTATACTATAAAGGTTGTACATTAAAATATTTTAGACAAACATACCCTTACCGTTATAACTTCCGTTATCTTTTTCATTATTGTTACAATGCACATGCATCCACCATATATTTTCTTATCTTCTGCATTAATAATAATATATACACATTATATATTTAAGTTATCTAAAAACATAATAAGTGTGAATGAAAGTTATACCCCTCATTTATGTCCGTTTTTTCCGTTAAGTTTTTTTTGTACATTATACTATAAAGGTTGTACATTAAAATATTTTGGACAAACATACCCTTACCGTTATAACTTCCGTTATCTTTTTCATTATTGTTACAATGCACATGCATCCACCATATATTTTCTTATCTTCTTCATTAATAATAATATATACACATTATATATTTAAGTTATATATTAATATTACCCAAAATATAAATATCAAATTTATAAAAATGATTTACATTATTAATATTATTATTTAGAATAATTTTAATTTAAATATCTAAAATCTAAATAAATAAATTTAAAATTTTAATATAATGTATTAATATTGGGCAATTATGTTTTGCGCATCGCGCATAAAAAATACTAGTATAATAATAATGCGTGATTATTTTCTTTCTATGAAAAATATTTCTACTTGAAAAGTAATCCATTACATCCTTCTAAATAGAAAAAATAAATAAATATGATCATTTTTAACTGTTGGTCTTGGTTGATAGGGTAAAAGTCTAGAAGAAGGGATAAATATACTTTTAGGGGGCGTTTGGTTCACGGAATGTTAGATTACCTTAGGGAATGTTAGATTGTTGGGAATGTTAAATTTCTGTGTTTGGTTTAAAACTAAGGTATGTAAATAAGACAACAGTAACAAGACAAATTGATTAAAATGTCAAAAACACAAAATTAGTAATAAGACAAGAAAATGTGAGATTACTTAAGAAATTGAAGGGTATTTCACATTCTCTTCTAATAGCTAAAAACTTAATATGGAGGTTATGTAACATTCCCTGAGAAAATTACATAACCTGAACCAAACATAGAAACCTTATATTTCCAAACAAAGATAACTTTAGTTATCTTATATAACTTGAACCAAACACCCCCTCACAACTTTTTAAATCTTATCATATTTAAGCTCGATTCAAGAATGTTGATTTTCATCTATTAAAAAATTCTCTCTCTAGATTCTCTCTAGGGTTTTTGCAGATCTACTAGGGTTTTCCTAGGTTTTCAGACAATTTTGGTTCTTTTCTCCCTGAAAGATGGCCGATGATGTTGTTATGGATGGCGAGATCAACCAACGTAATGCGACGCTGGCCGAGATGGAGGAATTGCGTGAAAGAGAGTTGCCGAATGGGGTTGATTTGCGCCGAACGAAGGAAGTTAGGCAGGATGTTAGGCGAGATGCAAGTTGGAGGCAAGAAGGGAGGGATTACGGTGCGAATGAAAGGCAGGAAGTTGGGGGGGAACGTGGCAGTAGCTTGAGGCGTGGGGGAGGTGTGTTGGCAGGTGGTCTAGGCGGTGTACATGGGGGTGGCGTGGGTAGTTTAGATGGAGATGGTGTAGGCAGTATGGGTGGAGGAGGGAATAGAGGAAGCATAGAGGAACGTGGCAGTAATATGAGGCGTGGGGGAGGTGTGTTGGCAGGTGGTCTAGGCGGTGTGCATGGGGGTGGCGTGGGTAGTTTAGATGGAGATGGTGTAGGCAGTGTGGGTGGAGGAGGGAATAGAGGAAGCATGGATCGGCATGGGAGGGGGATGGGGGAATTGCACAGCATCAAGGGGTAGTGGGGGGTGTGGCGGAGTTGACGGATAGATGGGCGGAGATGGCGTTGATGGAGGAGGAAGGGGCGGTGTTTATGCCGGAAGGTGGGGATGCGGTGGTAGAGGGTGATGGGGAGGAGGAGGAGGAGACTTGGAGGATTGTCGGGCGGTTTTTGACGCAGAAGATGATCAAGCTAGACTTTATGAGGCAGGTTCTGGCGTCTGTTTGGCAACCGGTACGTGGAGTACAGGTAACGGAGATTCAAAGGGGTTTGTTCTTATTTGTGTTTTTCCATAAGACGGATATGGAATACGTGCTGAATGGGGGACCCTGGGCTTTTGAGAATAATGCTCTTGTGTGTCGGGAGGTGTTGGATGGGGTAAATCCTGTGGATGTGGAGCTGGATATGATTGACATGTGGGTGCAGTTGCATGATATGCCAAAGGGGTACACGTCGCATGCAATCCTGGAGCAGGCAGGAAATTTTTTGGGCTCTTTTGTTAAACATGATGACCGGTTTGAGGGGGCGCCATGGCTAACGTTTCACCGTATTCGGGTGTCAATTTCGGTTGATAGGCCGCTTAGAAGGAGGATGAGGTTGATGAAGAGAGATGAGACTACAGCATGGGTAAATTTTAGATATGAACGGCTGCATAAGTTTTGTTACTTTTGTGGCTGTATGGGTCACTTGCATACTTTCTGCATACACGCTAGGGAGGCTGGAATTCCAGTCGAAAGGTACCTGTACGGTCCGGATTTGCGAGCTGGTGGATCCCGGAGCGCTCCTAGAGCGGTTGGGGATAGCTGGCTTGTTCCGGTAGGCGGAAAACCACGACCACTGGGAGTCAAGCCACGTGTAGTGGATGGGGGACAGGGAAGTGGGGCTGTCACACCCACGAGTATGTCTGAGGATGAGGTGGTGGTGGCTACGGCAAAGCGTCGTAGACATGGAACCGAGGGGGGAGAGGGAAGTGGAAACGATGAGGTAACAACCGCAGCTGTTTCAAAAAACTTGTCCATGGCGGGAGCTGGTGTCCAGCCCCGCCCATCATCATGAGTACTCTGAGCTGGAACTATCGTGGCTTGGGCAATCCACGCACAGTTCGACAGATTGTGGGCCTTGCGTCCAGTAAGAAGCCTGATTTTGTGTTTTTGATGGAGACCAAGGTACCACGGATACATGCAGAACGGATCCGGGTTACGCTTGGCTATGAAGGTTTGTTTTATGTTGATAACGATGGTTTGAGTGGAGGAATGGCGCTTTTGTGGAAGAAGAATAATACGGTGAGATTTTTAAGCTATTCGCAGAGTCATATTGATGTGGAGGTTAGCTTGTTTAATAAGTTATGGCGCATGACATGCATTTATGGTATCCCCGAGCGTGGTAGGCGGGAGGAGACATGGGATTTACTTGGTACTCTCAAGACTAGATCCTTATTGCCCTGGGTGGTGATAGGGGATTTTAATAATCTACTATATCAGCATGAGAAGAAGGGGGGAAATCCGTATCCTAATAGTCTGTTACGGGGTTTCGGAGATGCTCTGGATGACTGTGGTTTGATGCAAATGCCAATGAGGGGCCATCAGTATACGTGGCAGAAGGGGAAGGGGACGCCGAATTGGATAGAGGAGAGATTGGATAAGGCTTTAATAACGAATGATTGGGGTCTGCTCAATGAGAATGCAATGCTGGAAAATATTCGAACTCGGGCATCGGATCATTCGATCCTATTCCTCAGTATTAATGCGATTTGCATGCCAAGGAGAAGGGGACCGCGGAAGTTCAGATTTGAAATGGCTTGGCTATTGGATGAGGGGTGCAAAGGAGTAGTCGAAACGGCCTGGCAAGAGGGGAGAACGGAGGGATTGCTGCACTGCCAGCAGTTGTGTGGAGAAAAGTTGATGCGGTGGGGTGGAGATCAGTTCCATAAATTTGGAAAGCGAATTAACCACCTACAGCGGAGGCAAGATGCCATAAGGAATAGACGAGATTTGGTAGCTCTCGCTGAGTACCAACAGATTGAGAATACCATGAAACGAGTAGAGGCCCAGGAGGATGTGTTTTGGAGGCAGCGGGCCAAGCAACACTGGCTACGCGGGGCTGATGCGAATACAAAATTTTATCACAGGTATGCTTCTGCACGCCGGAAAAAGAATTTTATTTCTACTATTAAATGTGATGCTGGTAACTGGGTGGAGGGGGATGATATGCATGTTGTTATACAGAATTACTTTGAAAATATTTTTGCCTCAAATGAGCTGAGTTGTAATGATCCACTTTTTGGAGTCCTGACCCCACGAGTAACGTTGGAGCAGAATGTGATGCTAGACCGCCCTTTTGAAACTAATGAGGTTAAAGAGGCTCTTTTTTCAATGTATCCGGATAAGGCACCGGGGCCGGATGGGTTGAACCCGGGTTTCTACCAGCAGTTTTGGGGGATAGTGGGAGGAGATGTATCTGGTTTTGTAATTAATGCCTTGAATTCCTGTGTATTCCCTGAAGGATTGAATGATACTAACATTGTCTTGATACCGAAGAAGGAGATGCCTGAGACAGTAGCAGATTTAAGGCCGATCGCACTGAGTAATGTCATTTACAGAATTATGGCCAAAATGATAGCAAATAGGATGAAAACATTGATGGGAGGATTGATCTCAGAATCCCAGAGTGCTTTTATCCCGGGAAGGCTAATCACGGATAATATCCTGGTGGCAGCGGAGGTGGGGCATTATCTGAATAGAAAGCAATGTGGTATAGTGGGATGGAGTGCATTAAAGCTAGATATGTCAAAGGCCTATGATAGAATGGAGTGGAACTTTCTGGAAAGGATGCTGACTGTTATGGGTTTTAGTGAGAAGTGGGTAAAGCTCATTATGATGTGTGTAACGACTGTTAATTATACTGTAATGATTAATGGTATAGAAGGGGGGCACGTAAAACCAACCAGGGGACTCAGGCAGGGAGACCCGCTCTCTCCGTATTTATTTATTATTTGTGCAGAGGCTCTCTCGATGATATTACAGTATGAACAGTTGGCAGGGTCAATACATGGGTGCAGAGTAGCAAGGGGGGCACCGCCTGTATCACACCTATTTTTTGCGGATGATAGTCTCCTATTTTTTAAAGCAAATACCCAGGAGGCAGGAGTTATAAGGCAGTGCCTTGCAAGGTATGAGAAATTGTCAGGCCAGGTAGTGAATTATAATAAATCAAATATATGTTTTAGCAGAAATACCCAGGAGGCTGACAGGGCACAGGTGGCGAATTGTCTGGGGGTGGTACAAGCACCAAATTTTGGGAAATATCTGGGCCTACCATCTTTTGTAGGGAGAAACAAGAGAGCTGTTTTTTCGTATGTGGAGGAAAAAATCAGGCAGCGAATTGGTTCGTGGAGTAAAAAGCTACTCTCTCAGGCTGGTAAGGAAGTATTATTGAAAAGTGTAGCACAATCTATGCCTACCTTTTCGATGAGTGTTTTTTTGTTACCTGAGACAGTTTGTCAGTCAATTGAGCGAACTATGAATAAATATTGGTGGGGCAGTGGAAGAGAAAGGGGAATACATTGGAAGGCATGGGACAGGTTGTGCATACCAAAAAAGTATGGCGGTATGGGTTTTAAAGAGCTGAGGGCTTTTAATATAGCAATGCTAGGTAAACAGGCATGGCGATTTTTAACAGACCCAGAAACACTTGTAGCCAAAATCTACAAGGCAAGGTATTATCCCACAACCAGTTTTACAGATGCAACTATTGGTAATTGCCCGAGTTATTGTTGGAGAAGTATAATGGCGGCCCATGCAATGGTAGTCTCAGGGGTGCGAAGGAGGATTGGGAATGGACAGACAACCCTAATATGGGGACACCCGTGGTTACGAGACAATCCTAGCCCATTGATTCAAACAGAAATGCCGCAACAATTGAGAGAGGCGCGAGTTGCAGGACTAATTGATTTACAGACTCATACCTGGGATCCGCACATTCTGTCTGATTTATTTATTCCTGAAGATGTGGAACGAATAAATATGATCCCTGTTAGTCCTGAGTATGAGGACTCATGGTATTGGATGAGTGACCCAAAGGGGACATATACAGTAAAGAATGCCTATAGGCATATTGTGGGAGATTATGAGAATAATCCAGCGAATTTTGATAAGTGGATCGCAATGTGGAAATTAAAAGTACCCCCGAAATGGAAAACTTTTTTGTGGAGAGCCATATGTGATATTTTGCCAACAACCCTTAACTTGATATTTAAAAGGGTGGAGGTGGACCCAACTTGCCCTATGTGTGGTTTAGATCATGAAGATGTGTTACATGCTTTAGTGCTTTGTGAATATTCTAGACTTGTTTGGAATATAACACAATTACCTATTATTAATATTGTTGCAGACTCGTTTACAACATGGCTAAAAGGGGTTATGACAGTATTGACGGAGGAGCAGATCCGATTAATGGTAGCAATATTATATTATATTTGGAGAACCCGGAATTCAGCTGTCTGGAAGGGATCAATGATGCGGCCTGCCCGGTTGGTCAGAGCAGCCACCGTAGCACTGCAGGCGTATGGCACTGCTCATGTTGGCCGAACCAACCCGACACCGGCGACGGACCACGTGAATGGTTCAGGAGGGGGTGGTCTACGATGTTATGTGGACGCGGGTTTCCGGCACGACACGGGCGAGGCTACTTACGGCATGGTAATTATAGCGCCAGATGGCTCGTTTGTGGCAGCGAGGAATGGCAAGTTACCAATTTGTTTTTCACCACTTATGGCGGAGGCTCAGGCATACAAGGAGGCTTTGTCCTGGCTACTTGAACGGGACACCACATCAGTAAGTTTACTCACGGATTGCATGGAATTGGCAGCGATATTCAGGCACCATCATACGCCGATCCATTCGTACGTTGGGGTCACAGTTGACCAGTGCAGGACGTTTATGTCGTTATTTAATCGTATTACTTTGGATTATATTTCTAGGCAAGTTAATTTACATGCGCATACTTTAGCTACGTTAGCATTTACTCAGGATCAAACTATGTACTGGGATGCTATCCCACCTGACACTATTTCAGCTTTGATTCATTAATACAATCGCAAGATTGACCTTAAAAAAAAAGCTCGATTCAAAAAAATAAGTTTATGGCATTTCAAATACTTTTTAAAAATTTGAAGATTAGCTAGAGTACATGCACATCGGAATACTTTGTGTGTGATATAAAGCGAATGGTGATTCAAAAATGATTATAATAATTTAGGCATATAATTAAAACATATAGGAATATAATGCATGAAGTAAAATAATGAACAACATATTAGTTAGAAGATGTATGTAATCCTTATATTTCACTCTACTCTTTTCTTTAGGATGAATTTACTATATTCACCACTCTTGTATATATTTATAAAAATAAAAAAGTGTATATTAATTTTGGAATGCTAATTCTTATTCTATTTAGCATCATCAAAGTATATCTACATTGTAATTATATTACACGTGCTAATACATTTTATTATTTTAAGATTTGTTTGAAAATTTATAGGATGTTTAACAAATAGCTGATAACTGATTTAGTTAGTTTTAGCTGATACGGTTTGTTGGTTTGATCAGCTGATAAGTTTAGTTGGTTTGGCCAACTAATAGCCTGATAACATTAGCTGTTTGTAAAATGTGTTTGATAAAATTAGTTATTAGCTGATAGTTGATTACATAGAAAATGACGTATAAAAGCATAAATATATTATGATATTTACTTAATTCTTAAAATACTTTTATGAATTTAATGATGTAAAATTAGTTGTTAGTTGATAGTTGATTACATAGAAAATGACGCAATGTTTTTTTTTTTTTTTGAACATTACAATGATAAGTACTTAGTTACCATTACCAATGAATAGTTATCACAGTAATGATGTACATTCTCTAACAACAAAACGATTCCAACTTTGCTCGAATCCATAAACAAAATGTCCAGATGGTTTACAACATTTGTTCATATCAAGAAGTATACCACCTCTTATCAACACAGTCATTTCTGATACACCTGCTAGCTAGCCATAATCACTGGATCTTAGTCGATGCAATGCAGTATGCACGCAGATTGGGCTAGTTGTAGCGCAAAATTACACGTCATTCTTGTATGGAGCATTTCCAAGACTAGTAGTAATCACTGCACTTCCATATATCTTGTTGAAGAATCATATATAGGGTTTACTCTCTAGAGCATATTAAACACTGCCGGGGAAGCAACAAAGGAAACATACATGTAATCGAAGAAGTAAAGAATTTGGCAAGAACCTTGTAGTCCAGTGGCACGTACAGGTGGTGAAACATGTCTCGATCCGAGATCGATCATGATGGATTAATGCAAATTCACCTAAGAGTTTGGTAGTATGCGGGCATTGTACATTTTGTCAAGTAATATAATTTCCGTGCTTGGGGCGGCCTAAGAAGACCTTTAAATTAATTTGTTGTTTGGTAGACCAGTTCCCAAACACACTGGACATACAAGTTTTCCTGGTCCATAACAATTTAATTTGGGCATTCAGTGAACTCATATATATACATCTATCCTTGGCCCTCTTTCTGTTTAAAGCCTTCCATTTTCCTGTACCACGTACCACACATATCACAAAGCTACAGCTGAACAGAGGCCGGCAAGTCAGGCACACACTGCATGCACGTCTTGAATTAGCTCCGATCCTTTTTGTTGATGGCCTGGCCTGGGTTGCTCTGAGTGGTCTGAAAAATCCCAACAGTACATTATCCAACCTGCTGGCCTGCATTTCACTGATTTCTGATTGGAGTTGTTTGAAGATTGAGTAGAACCGGCAGAGAGCACTGCATTCTCCAACTCACTCTCTCAACTCTCACCCTTCATTCTTCTTCATTGCCTATGACGGTTAACCACAACGTAACCCCGCCAAACACTTTTACACTTTATTCTCATTGTTAATTATATTTTAATTTTAACTATTATTTTTTGCTTTATTATTAATAATTATTATATTATTAATAATGTTATTTATAACTATAAAATAAATATTCCCTACTTAATAATAATAATTAATAATATAATTTTAAATAAAAAACATAAGTTATTAATAATAATTCAATATAACGGTTATATATATATATCTTATTAAAAATGTAAATATGAATAAAAACTTAATAAATATAAACGCTACAATAACCAACAACTATTAAGAGTAAATTAGGCTTTTAAAATGAAAATGCAATAAAGTGATATCAATAAGCTATTTAAAGTATCATGGACCTTGTAGTCTAATGGTACCATGCATGTTGCTTCCCTGTGTGGGAGGTGATAGATTTGAACTTTAGTGGAGACATTTGAAGTAATTAGGTATTTGACTTTGATTGATAAGCCATTTTCAAAACACTCCTTAAACTAGCTTTTGAAAAACATTTTCATTTTTTAGTCTAAATTTTGTAATGCAATGCTAATATAATTACATAGTAAGGCGGAGTGGATTGGCAAATATATATATATATATATATATAGAGAGAGAGAGAGAGAGAGTGCTGTTCAGGTGTGAAATTGGGTTTAAATGTGAACTTGTACACTAGTTTCATCCGTTCATTCTCTTTTGATCGACGTACACAAACTAGGGTGCACGCCCGCTAGGTGCATTTGATTCACTAGATCGTTGCCCGTTTAGTTGGGGTTTTTGTGTTTAAGTTCTTATTAGACTCTTCTTCTCAGGCTTACTCAACCCGCGTCTGTCGATCGAGCTCTCCTCTGAACCCCATAGCAGTCGTACCGTACAGCCGCCTTTCACCCCTCCGTCTGCCGGTCCTCGCAAGATTTCATGCGTGTCCCGATCATTCAAATGGCGGTCTCGTCCGGCCATCGCGGCAGGTTCGAATGGGCGGCGTCCGGGGTAGCATCCAGGGTGTCAGCACGGAGGAGGCTGGCGCGGCTTCCAGGGCAGAAAGGTGAGTCCTTTTCCTATTTTTCTCCTTGGGTGGTTTGGGCGGTGGATTGGGGGTGTGTGGTGTTGTATTAATGGGGGTTTGGTTTTGCTGGAATTTGTAATTTTGGCATTATACAAATGATTTTGGTTTTGAACTCTAATGGCATTTTGGGAGTCCAATTCTGTATTAGAATTCACACCTTCTGTATAACATGATACTTTTGACTGCAATTTCTTCTAAATAATGCTACATTTTGAGTTAATTCCAGCAATGGTCCTCCGACTATTACGATTTTCCAAAATTAGTCCTTGACTTTTAATTTGGACGAAAAAGACACTTGACTTTTAGATTTATTCCAGTTGTAGTCCTTCTGTTAATTTGCTGTTAGTTTGACGTTAAAAAGAGGGGTAAAAGTGTCCATTCATATGATGGGTGTCTTCTTCCCATTTGCTCCAATGGCGATGGCGTTCAAAGCAAGATTTTGAGTTCTAAGTATTTGAAGGCAGTACAATGCAATAGCTCCTTCAAATACTCAATCAGCCAAAGGTGCATCTCGTTCGAAACTGCCGGGCTAAATCAACACTAAATCAGCCAAAGGTGTTAATACTCAAGCTAAAGTATGGATGGAGACTCCTCCAAAGTTCGAAACTGCCGGCGAGGGACAAACCAAAGTTGAGAGTAGCAGCAGTAACCGCAGACATTGTGGGGCATCTCGTCCAATCGTCCCTCAACTTGGCCTCCTCTCTAATCTCGCCCTCTTTCACCTCAACTCCAATCGCTTTTGCGGTGCAGTCCCCTAGAGCTTCAAAAACATGATTATCCTTAGGGAGCTCACTAGTACAGACATACATATCCGCTACCCTTGTAAATGACTATCCGCTACCCTTGTACAAGAGTAGCGGATTTAGGGTCGCAGAAAGTCCTGGGCTTTCCGCTACTCTTTTACAAGGGTAGCGGAAAGTTGAGTATCCGCTACCCTTCTAACTGTAGAAGGGTAGGGCATATTATTATTATTCTTTTTTTCGTAATCTTCCACTACCCTTTCTTGTAGCGGATGGTTTACTTTTTTACAAAAAAAAAATAAATCGTTTATTATTTTTAAAATTCCCAATTTTTAAAAAATCTTGTACACCGAATTCATAAACTACATATCAATACAATATTATGAACACAATATTATCAATGCACTTTCAATACAATATTATCAATACAATATTTTATATCAATCAATCTCAATATTTCATCACAATAATAAATTATAAACACAAGATAATATTTAATCTAAAATAAAAGTTAAAAATGGACTCCACAAGACATTTTGATCACAACTGTGATGTCTGCTACTACCTGAAGTGTTCGCATATTATGCCAGCTTAAGTAGCCTTAAAAGGCACTTGAAACAACATGTAAGGTTTTGATCATTTCAGGTTTCCTCTTCACATACATCCTTTTCAAGAAGTTAGGAGCAAAGTTCAAGGCATATCTGCAGCAAAAGAACAGTGTTGATAAGCAATTTTCACTTAGAAGAGCAGGAAAAAGTCATAACAAAAACAATGGTAGGGCGAGGGCTTAGTTAGTTATTAACAACCTCGGTTAACCAAGTATAGAATCAAAATTGTGACATAAAACGTGACACAAGCAGAAAGGAAAGGGCAATGAGGAGAAATGCAGACACAGCTACTCACGTCTTTGCAAGAAGAGGGAGTAGTCGTCTTTGATGGCTGGGGTAATCAAGCAATAAAACTTCAGGTCCATTTGGTGTGACTGAAAATGCTCTCCTTGTCAATGAGTATCTTATGGCAATTGCTATGCCCACCTGATGAATATCGAAGTCTTATTAAAGAACAGTTCTTATTTAATACTTATCAATCTTTCAGAAATACTAAATCAGAGAAGAGTAATGTGTTTTACTTTTGCTGAGTAAGTTACAATGGATGGTATGGTTACACGCCCTGTTGTCAAAGGCGTCATGAATGCTCCCGAATCTCTGAAACACAGTGCCAAGGAACTGGAAGATCACAACAAGACAGACAGACACAGTTTAGCATTGGTACTAAAGGTTAATTGAGGTTACCCTGTCAGGATCCTTAATTGCAGTCAGATACTTGCCATCAGGAGAAACATCTGCCACTGAATTCAGAAACACTTAAACATATATACATAAGATTTGAGATTCACAATATACAAAGTAAAACAACTATCTGTTCATTCTAAGACGTATACCAATTTAACCATAAACTGACACAAGTAATGCCCAGTAAGCTGTTTTCACCAGATACATAAACTGTTATGTCAATTCATATATGAGAAGCCTAACAAGAAATCTTTGCCTTAAGAAAAACCATGATCTATGTCATCTAACAATAGCAAGAATAGGTAATATCCCCAAATAATAATGATGTTGATTTTTATCTTACCATTGGTTTTCAAATCTAGAAAGCACTTCTCTGCAATGTTCTCCAACATTAACTTCCCCAAGGATTTGAAGATGCATGTTAAACTTTTCATGGAAGTAACTTTTGTTATGTCAAGAGTATTCAAAAGCTGCAAAAACTGCTCTTTACAGCCACCACTGGACATTGCTAACAGATAATTTTTCTGCAACATTTATGATAAGTATTAGGTCTGATAAGTATTTTTAAATAATGAGAAATCTTTAACAATGTCTTTTGTAAATTGTAAAAATGAAAATCAAGACTAGCCCACATGCAAAGCCCAATGAGAAAGAGAGAACCCTCAAACCACTGACCACTGAGCCAGGTAACTATCGATGCATTATATTCTACCAGGCCAGTTTCCTGTCGAAGTTTACCGAATACCTGAACTGTAGCATCTATTCCAAGTTGGTTAAAGCATAATTCAACTAAGCGGTCTAGACGAGTCTTTTGGCAGATCTTTCCCAGTTGGTTAAAGCATAATTCAACTACTGTAATTATATCAAAAATAACAACAAAAAACAAATTAACGAGTCAAAAAAATTGCAGACCAGTAACTGTATCAAAAACAAGATTATTTTGAAAAATGTACACACTAGTAGTAACAGAAACCGAGATGAGATGAGATCATCTAACCCTGGAAATTACTCCTGCGTCTTGTTTATCTGCCACTCCATCTTTAGATTGAAAAGCTTAGCAAACTGCAAGGGATTTTACAGCACATGTAGATGAAGATTTTAGGTCTCAAGTAAAAAATTTAACATTCCAACATTCAGAGAGAAGTACACTAAACATCCAGTGAATATATTGCAGTCATTTATATCTAAAGTGCAACAGAGAAAACACATCTTTCTCCCTTTAAAAGCTTCCTTGATTAGTTATGATTGAATGGTCCAAAAAAGTTAATCTAGTTATCAAATAATCTACACAATGGGGAAAAAATGTCAAATTGGCAATTAATGTGTATCAATTACTCGAGTCACTAGATATTTCAAGAGAAGGAACTTGAAAAGAATAGAAGAGGAGGTATGGGGGTTAGCAAGAGTAAGTTAAGAATGCATACTCATAGGTCAATTTCCCATCACGAGCAAGGCCCAAAAGATAATCTATCATGCCATGACACTGTTCTGCTTTATCTGAACTTAACCACTTTTGGAGCCAAAACCCTCTCAAAGAAAGATCCTACAAACATAATATCAAAAGGTGGCAAATGCTTCTTCATAAAGAGCCCATGGATCTGAGTTTCTCGAAATTATACTTAAACTATACCTTAAATATGAAAGAACTTGTTGATACAGTTACAGGTTTCTTTGACATGCCACCATACGTAACCATAGTTCCAGACCAGATTGGATGATTCCAGACCAGCTTCGCGTAGAGTCTCTACCACCTAAAAGGTTCGCTTGAATTTAATTCAGCAAAGGAGGATTCAAGTACAACAAACAAACAAACAAACCAACCTTAGATTATAACTAGGTAAGGTTTATCATTTTATCCTGCAGTTCTCCTCATAAACTGAATCAAGAATCAATCTCCATGAAACTAACTAAGATCTTCTACTTACCAATTTTTAAGCCAGGGCTATGTATAAAGGAGCATCTTCAATATCAAAACTAAGATCGTTTTTAAGGTTTCGAAGCAGCGGCGGCGGATCGAAGCAGCGGCGGCGACACTGTGGCGGTGGAGACGGCGGATGAGGGCGTGGGGCGGTGAATCGATGATGAGACGGTGGCGGTGAGGAGAACGCGCGTACTATAGCGGCGGCTGAGGGAGTCGATGGTGAGGTGAGGCGTCGCCGTGTCCTCGTCGGGAGTCGAGGCCGGAGATGCGGTGAGGTGATCGCCGTGTCCTACTGAGATGCCGGCCGTGAGGTGAGGGTACGTACAGTTGTGAGATGTGAGCGATGAGGATGGAGCTAGAATGCGGCCGTGAGGTGAGGGTTAGGTTTTTTCAATTTAATTTCGTTTTTTTTTTATAATATTGTTTCCGCTGCCCTTTGCTACGCGAAAGGGCAGCGGAAACTATTTCCGTCTTTTTTTAAAAAAAAAACCGCTACCCTTCTTTTAGAAAGGGTAGCGGTTTCGTATTCATTTAATTACAATTATGCCACCGTCCCTTTTTTTTAAATAATACACTACCCTTGTTTAAAGAAGGGTAGCTTAAAGTAGAATTTCTTTGCTCCATTCTGTAGTAGTGGCTGGATCTCAGTAACAACCGCTTTGAAGGCGAATTCCCTAAGGCCGTGCTTTCAATGCCTTCTATCAAGTTTTTAAACCTTCGTTTCAATGAGTTTGAGGGCCCCGTGTCATCCAAGCTCTTCGACAAGGACTTGGACAACCAATTCCGTTTCGGCATCCCAACGAATCTCGGAGTATGAAGGAAGAGTAGTTCAAGGTCCACTTAGAGGTACACCAGTTATTTTTAAGGTACTAATTCTTGGTCATCCTCTACATGGGAAATTCTATTTATCCAGCATCCTCTGTTTGGTAATCTATCAAAAATATTTCTCATTCAGGTATGTCCAGGTAAACAAGTTGGCGGTTTGATTGCAGCAAATGAGCTGAATGCTCATGCTTCCCTTCAAGTAATTCGATAATTCTTTGGTTTCAGTTGCAAGCACTCAAGCAGGTTAAAATTTGAGTATGATTAAGTATTCTGCTGAGATATTTGAAATGCCCACACTTTAGTAGTTCTAGAGACATCTGTGAGAATATTCAAATACTTATTGGAGGATTTGAGATGAAGACAGGAGAGCAGGTTTGTTGTCTTCTATTTTAGCTGTATGCACATTTTTCTTGGGTGTAGGTCCAATCACAATACTCACAAGTTCATATGGATTCTGTTTCGTGCAGTGGCTTGCTTTTAGGAAGTATGGGAAATATACTGCAGCACCAAAGTCTTGGCCCTGCTCTGTTGTTCTTAAGTATTCTGTCCACCTTTTTTAATCTCTCTTCTTCATTTCCTTTTTGTTTTGGATTGTGACTGTAAATCATGCAACTGCTCAATTCATTTTAACAATATGATCCAATCTCCTTGAATGGCAGCACAATGGTTGAGAAAGATGCTGCTTATCTTGTTCAATCTCAACTTCACCGGAGAGGCTCCGGAATGTGTCGCCAACATCTCCCAAACATAAGCTCATATAAACCCAACAAATGAATGGACACATTTACCCTTGCTTTTAACATCAAACTAACAGCAAATTCACGGAAGGACTACTACTGGAACAAATCTGAAAGTCAAGTGTCTTTTTCGTCCAAATTAAAAGTCGAGGACTAATTTTGGAAAATCACAATAGTCGGAGAACCATTGCTGGAATTAACTCCTACATTTTTTAATGTCTAGGCTAGACAACATGCACATGTGAATGGAATTTGTTAGTTGTCATTATAACAGGTGATTTGAGGTTTAAACAGAAGTTACGGTTACAGGAATTAACTTAATTATTTTGTTATTTATTTCTCTTAATAGTTATTAGTTAGGGGTGTGCTATGTTTTTTTTTTATATGCTATCTGCATCCTATTTCTGGCTGCAATTTATGTTAAATATAGGCAGAATGGTATATAATGCCTGCATTTTTCAATATCTAGGCTAGAGATCACTCACATGTAAAAGGGGATTTTGTTAGGGGGCATTGTAACTGGTGTTTCGAGGTTTAAACAGAAGTTGCAGTCAGATGAATTGACTTAATAATCTTGTTATCTATTTATCTTAATAGTTATTAGTTAGGCGTGTGATATGTTTTTTTTTTATATACTATCTGCAGCCTACTTCTACTTCTGACTGCAATTTCTATCCGTGCTGCATTTTTCATTATCTAGGCTAGAGATCACTCACATGTGTATGGAATTTGTTAGTTGGCATTATAACAGGTGATATGAGGGTTTAAAAGAAATTGCAGTCAGAGTAATAAACTTAATAATGTTGTTATCTAATTATATGAGGTTATTGTATTTTCAAACCAGTGATGCATGTCTGTTTCACATTGTGGATATAATCTCTTGTGGTGCTCACTTGGTGCCATTGTTGTGCAGAGGCTCTAATGACCGATATCCAGTTCAGCTAAGTGACGGTGAAAGTGGGGAGGATGACGGTTTCCGAACCCCGCCGCTGGTGTTGGATGAAGACGTGGGGAGGGAGGCACCGCGTGTGCATCGTTCAACCACAGGACAGATCAACACACGGGTGACGCCGAAGTACTTTGCAAACCTCGTGGGAGCCCTAACTCCGAGGCAAAGGGAGGATGTTATGGCCATTGGCCTTGGTGCGCTGTTGGGGTTTATCCGTATCTCGGTTTGCAATCCGGTGTGTTGCGAATGATTCAATTTTTAATATTTATTTTAATTCGATCGGCATTTTTGCGCATACTATTATGCCTTTATGTACGCAATTGAAATGTGTAGCGTCACTTCATTAGGGGATAAAATTCAGATATTAGCTATGCAGACTTGGTTGTTATTCCTACCAATAGCGAGACGAGTTTGTGCAAGTCCTATGGAAAATCAGTGCACTTCGTTTCCATCCTAGTTCATGATGATTTAATGATGAGTTTTAACTTGGTTTCCATCTTAGTTAACGACTGGACCGTTTTGCAACACTGCATGTTTAAATTAGTTTCCTTAATCGTAAGGTTAGTGCAGCCAATTGAACCAAAAGTAATAGGGGATAAAAAAAATCCAATGGAATTAAAATGGAGTCAACGATGGCTTAATCCAGAAAACAGTGCTGTAAATTGAAACTAAAGTAAGTGGGAATAAAAAAAACCAATTTAAACAGAGTACATATTTACGAACAAGTTACTTCGAAGGGCAACGGTGGCTCCATGCCGCATAATGCCTGTATTGCAGCACGGTTACCCTTAACAGGGTTCACAATTAGGCCGTCATTACCAAATTCAGCTGTAAGACCCTTTACTGTACCGAGACCACACGTGTCTGCCGCTCCAGGCTATTGCCTACCAACCAAACGCATGTGTTTATCTCAACCCACAGTTGGATTGCTACGGGTGTTGCTCTATCACTTGCACATGGTATCCCCTTACATGCGGTACAGTAACACCCGTGAACGACACAAACACCATACTATACCTGCACAATAAAAAGGGATGCGTGATTTGTTAACTGGCTAATAGTACTATCGTTTGCCATATAATACACATGTAATGCACCACTCGTATACATGCAATACCAAAATCTGGAAAACAATTTAACACCATACTATACCTGCACAATAAAAAGGGATGCGTGATTTGTTAACTGGCTAATAGTACTATCGTTTGCCATATAATACACATGTAATGCACCACTCGTATACATGCAATACCAAAATCTGGAAAACAATTTAACATATAGCAACATCACAGCAAAGCAAAAGTGACATCCAAACAGAATCTCTGGACCAAAATCACATAATTTCACAAATAATATTCTCCACCACTGCCTTATACGTACATCAAAGCAAACTGACTGCCTAACTTACAAATTTATTAGCTGTAATCGTACCCATCATCTGATTCAATATTCTTTTCAATTAGTACTCGGTCAATTAGAAACATCATCATGGTTCAATAATTATTTACCGAAAATGGTATTGATATTCGTTGTATAAAAATATTCCATGTTACATTATTAGCAATTGATTATTAAATCAAACTATTCTTGATTTATTTACAGTGCAGACAACAAATGGTATACAAATTCACATACCAAACACCAATGAAAATAAGGGAATTGGGAATCAATTTGCCACCCCATACCTGTTTGTTCCATAGGTTGCATCGAATGAAATGTTATCGCCATAACAAGAAAATGTCCGCCTACCGAGGGGGTCAGCCCAGAACAGTCTAGCCGGTTTTTTTCATCAAGATGGTAATCAAAAAAGAAGTCACTACAGACTTCATGCTTGGCTTTGAACGTTGCAATAATCATCTCGCCATCAGCTAACGTACTACCGTTTGAAATTGTGGAATTCCACGCAACTGACATTTGCGTACGACCCAGTTGTCTCCTTTGACCCCTTGCCGACTGCACACCAAATACCGCGAGTAGATTACTCCGGCTCGGTCTCGCTTCACGGAACTGTAGCGAACGTCAAACCGGCTCATTCGGGCATAGTTGATGTAGCATTGGATACCTTCGTTTAGTGTTTTAAATACACGCCCCACTGACGGCAGTACTGAAACATCCACAGAGGGCGTCCATTGTTGTTCGTCAATTGGTTCTGCTTCCGGGATCATCATGTCGTTCTCTACACATAAACGAGTCAGATGGTACGGGGGGAAAACAGCAACGCACGGAGCCATGCACCGTGGAAAATAAAAAATGGGGAATAGACGCGTCACCTGTTAATCCTCTGCCATTCGGTTCGATCATCGTTACTCCTCTCCGGTCTGGCACAGTTGGGTTAGGATGAGACGTCAGCACCGTAATGGATGTAAGAAATAGGCTGTATATGCGCAGTTGTATTCCTTTTCAAATACGGTGGAGGGGAAGGTGCGTAATAGAGCAATGTATCCCATGGTGCGTGGTGCACTGTACAGGCGTGCACTTACAACTATGAGCCCTACGATCTAATATATCAATGTTCCGTAGTGGTTCACTAGTTCACACGTTAATAATGGTTCGCACCAGAAAAATAGCCTATATATATATATATATATATATATATATATATATATATATATATATATATATATATTTTGATAATTCAAATTTCTCAATTTCGTCCGATTATGATTCTGTTCGGCATTACTTACAGCACGTTTGGTTCACGGAATGAATTTTGGGTAATAGGAATGCTATTCCATAAGGAATGGAATAGAATAGGAATTGTATTATATTGTTTGGTTCGCGGAAGGGATAGACTTTAGGAATTATATTGCAGTGTTTTTTTTTTTAGAAAATTGTATTGCAGTGTTTGGTTGGTTTAAAGAATAAAAATGAAATATGTTTTAAAAGGCGTAAATACCCTTATAAAAATATGTGGTGGTGGCGGTGGTGGGGTGGTGATGCTGGGGGTGGTGGCGGCGGCGACGGTGGTGACGACAGTGGCAGTAATAGCGGCGGTGGTGGTGAAATAGGAAATAAATTTAATTAGAGGTAAAATAAGAAATATGTAATTGTGTGTGTTATATATATATATATATATATATATATATATATATATATATATATATATATATATATATATATATATATATATATATATATATATATATATAACACTATGTATGTATGTAAGGGTATTTTTGGTATTTGTAATATAAAAGCTATTCCCATAAGCATGGGAATAGCTAATACCAAGGCCTCTCCTAGGAATGGCTATTCCCTTTGCAAAGGGAATAGGTCATTCCTAGGAATAGTATTCCCATGACAAAGTAACGAACCAAACAATGGAATTAATCTATTATAAGAAATGTCATTTAATTTCTGACCTATTTTATGAACCAAACATGCTATTAGTGTATAAACTAATTAAATTTGAAAGCTTAAAAACTACTCTGTAGTAGTTACTAATTTATTTTGAGACGTTATAAATAAAATGAAAAAATTAACATTTTGGTCCCTCAATTGTTTTTCAATTGTCAATATAGTCTTTAATTTTTAATTTTAACCAATTTGATCATTGAATTGTTCAAAATTTAGTTAATTGAACTCTTTCAGGGGCCAAATTAATAAAATTTTAAAAATATAAAAATTATCATTTTGATTCCTGAAAGGGTTTAATTGACAAAATATATAACAATTTGAAAATTAAAATTGAAATTAAAAACTAAAAACTACATTAACAATTGGGACAATTAAAGCATCAAAATGGTGACTCTACAAAGTATTTTTCAGTTGACAATAAAACAAAGTATTTTCCAGTTTTCTTTCTTTTTTTTTCCTTTTTATCCCCTTGAATTATTGTTTTCGGCGAAAACACCACAGGAGAGGAGATGCATTCTCTAGCTGCAGGTTCGCCGTAATTTTGTAATCCCTCCCTCCATCTCTCACTCTTTCTTCCATTTTCACCGCCGGCGCCGCCACCGCCACCCCCGCCACCCGTCGCAACCAACAAATGCTTGGCAAGTAATTCTTCTTCCAAACCTTAAACCCTAATCCGTAGGATTTATAATATAATTTATGGACTTCCAACATCCTCACGGCTATAACCGACTGCCGCTTCCTCCTCCTCCGCCGTCCATGGCGGATCCTCACTATCCACCACCACCGCCACCACCGCAATCTCAGAGGCCGCCAGTTCCTCCACCCAACTCTTGGTACTCTCCGCAATTCCAGTACCATCCGCCATCGCAGCATTCTCCTTCTCCTCCACCTGCTCATCCTTCACAGCAGTGGGGCCCGCTTCCTCCTCCATATCCTGCGCCTCCACATGCCCCTTATCCTTCCCACCCTCTTCCGCATAGCCACTACCCCCCTCCCCTTCCAACTCGGCCTAATCTTCCTCCTCAAGTTCCACAATCCTACCCTCATGCGAATCAGGTATACATATATAGTTTAATTATCATGTTTTTATGTTTTAATAGGACTTAGGATTCGTGATTGTTGTGTACGGCATTGAAAATCGAAGAAACTAAACTTTCTTTTAAGACTAAAATTTCCTCTCCTTTTTTTTCGATAAATATTTGGCAGGACTGGGGAAATGCAAACTGGGGACATCATCAAACTGTGGAATACTCAGGTCAGTTAAGGTGCCCTTGATGGGTTTTGGATTAATTGCCCCTGCATGCCCAGAGCTTTGATTTGCAGTGAATTTCGTTCTTCTTTCCCCCTTATTCCCTGCTTGATTACATTTTGAATAATTGCAACTGTGAAATGTATGTGGTGTAGCAGTCATTTAATTTTCTGTTGAATTGTGGTTGAACTTATAACATGCCTATGAATACAACCATATTTTGTCATGTTTAAGATTTAGTGCTTAATGTAACCTACTCATCCAGTACCACATAGCAATGAAGAAGATTGGGCTGCAAAGGCCAGAGCATGGGCTGCTGCTAAAGCGGCCTCTGAAAACCAACAGCCACAATTTACACAAGCTGGCAGACTTGAAGAACAAAGTCACTACTATGACCGATATCCCCATTCTGCTGATCCTCATTTCCAAGATTCACAACCAAGAGTTCTGCCACCCAGCTATCAACAGTTTACAGCTCCAGCTGCACGCTCTCAAAATATACCCGGTGGTCACTCAAATGAGTCTGCAGCTATAGGCTTAGGAAAATCTTCTTATGTTCATGATGGGCATTTAGCTTATACTGCTAGGGATGAAAGCTTGGCTGGTGATTCAACAAGTGCATTGCCTCAACAAGGAAACTTGTCTGTAAGTCCATTAGTCCATTGGCCGGAGGTATCTTCTAGTTATTCTTCTGTTGCAGGTAAAGAGTTTGATTAGTATAGTAATTTTGCATCTGAAGCACCTTTTGAAGAGTTACTTCAATTTATCAGCTACTAGCTTACTATTAACCAAATTCCTTTCCTTTTTTTTTTTAATTGTTGTATGCATTATTGTTTTGTATACAGTGAACCATCTGAGATTCAAGATTAAAACTTGCATGATTTTTTTCAGCTAACTGTTATGTATCAGCAGAGACTGTTCATTGCCTACAATCTAGCATCTAGCAAGGGAGACTTATTTATTTTTGTGGTAACCACTGAAAATTTGTACCCTGCAGAGGAGATTCTTAGTTATAAGAAAAATGTTGAGTTGATAGGGTGACTTAACTGGCATAGGAATTGCTGCAGATTACTTAAAAGCCTATTATATCATACAATGGCTATTTCTTGATCTCTTATTGCTTACAATTACAATGCTTCCACCATCTTGCTGTGTACATTGGTAAAATTTTTATTACTTGTATCTTTTTAATGGGAGAGAAGCCTTCTGTATATAGTTCCTATTTCAAGCATGAATGTTCTTGTCATGGATTCAAGTTATTGCGGAATTGCTAAGTCTGCATATTTTGTAATCCAGAAATCCATGCAGATTTTCCAACCTTTTCTTTGATATGATCCAACTCTGTAAGGTTTCATGTCAGACTACCAATAATTAGCTATTTGACTAGTAACTGTAATGACAGGGGAAGAAGTTGGAGATCAAAATGATAAGCTATATAATTCTCAATCTTTGACTGTTACATCTGCTCTACAACATCAAGTAAAACCACCACTACCTGTCGGTCCTGGGTCTACAATGAATGAAGAGCCTCATCATTCATTTGGGGGACAGTTAACTGAGGCTGCAATAAACCCTATGGATAAACCATTAGTGTTTGCACCTCAGGTTAATCGTGACCATGGCTTGCATATGGAATCAAATTATTCATACTCTGATTCAGTGGGTCCTGCAAGTGGTGTTGACCCTGTTTCAGGAATGACTTCTGCTTATGCGTGGCCTCCTGCCACTGCTGGGGTAGCTTATCCTTTCATTCTTCCTTCATAGTCAGAAGAGTAGCAGTTTACTCCTTGTATAATTGTAGTATGGTACTATAGTGGTAACCTCACTTACTGGGTTAATTACTGTATTATGCACCAGGTTGAACCTACCATGGTAGTGCCTTCTCCAGTTCCTGGACTCTCTGCACCAGTTTTTGGGAGGTTACCTGGACCAAACTTCCAGTCCACTGTCCCACCTGTAGGCCCCACTTTTGGAATTACCCCAGGGGCTGCTGGTCCTACTGCTTTTCCTACTGATGCTTATGCAATTTCCACTGACCGACCTAAGAAGGTATAGATTATGTCCTATTGTCCTAAGCCCTACATCCATTGTCAAGACCATTTAATTTTTATTCACATCTTTTATTTTGGAGAATTTTTAGGCTTCTGTGCCTAACTGGCTTAGAGAGGAGATTATTAAGAAGAAAGCTGTCATCACTAGTTCAGCTCCAGACCTCCAAAAGGATGATGCACTTGAAGATGAAGATGTTAACAAGCCTTATAGAAGAGGCGATCAGGGAGATATCAAAAGCGTTGATTCATCAAGATCTACTGAAGGAGAGGATGATGATGAGGTGAGATCATTAACTTTCTCATAATTACTCATTTGGGCTGTGGGCCCATTTTGATTTGGATGAACTTATTTTTGGCTTATTGAGGCTTGTCTGCTGTTATAAGAGCTTATGGCTTCTTAAAATGTGTTTTGAGCTTATTTTGGTAAGATATTTGTTTGACTTTAGTGGTTTGATTTGGTCAAAAGTCAAAACCGCTAAAGTTAGTATTTGGTAAATAGTGGATTACATTAGCTGATTGTGGCCAAAACATTGAAAATAGTAGTTTTTGGGTTAGTGAATTGCATTTATTTAGTTAAAAAAACTATTTTAGACATTAATTTATACTATTAATTTATATTCTACTAATTTATATAATTTATATAATAATTTAAAAATATAATTAATTTATATTTATATTAATTATATTACCATTAATTTATATCTATATAATCATTAAAAAATGTAATCTAAAACCTATTTACTCTGTATCTTCATTTAATTGCATTGTAGGCGCACAAGTTTCTTTGTTTGCTTGTTCCGCAACAATAATAATAATTTTTGAAATTAAATTATTATGAAATTTATATCTAAAATATAAAATACTTTAAGAATAATTAAATAAAAAAATATTCATGTCCTTATAAGTAGTATTATGTTACTAACTAAAACTAAATAACTAATTTACCAGACAACTTTCTATGAACAACTAATACTACTCGCTGGTAAAAGCAACTAACACAATCCATTATTAGCTAATATAATTCACTATCCGCTAATTGCTTAGCACCTCAACAAGTTGAAAGGCTCTTTTCAGGGGCCAGTTTGAAATGTTATATCCATTTAAGTTGTTTTGAGCTTATTGACAAGCACTAATCATAAAAGCACTCATTTAGGCTGTTTATCTAAACTGGGATTAGGCTTCCTTTAAAAATGGTGTCAATCTGTCCAATTTTTGTTCATGCAAATTCTGTGTTTTTTAAGATGCCAGCTTGCCTAAGTTGCTCTTCATGTAAATTCCATATTTTATCTTTTCTTAGACATCTATTTATTTTTATCTTTTGTGGTGTGAGGTTATGAATTTGCTATACTTCTTTGTCAATGGGGCTCTTTAAACATCATTCACTTTGTGATTGGACAAATGTTTGTTTCTCAATGCAGGACGATGCTGACGCTGCCAGAACTGCAGCAATAAATCAGGAAATAAAGCGCGTCTTAACTGAAGTGCTTTTAAAGGTTGCGGCTGATCAATGGTCCAATGGATGAGTATATTTATTTAAAGTTTAAACTCTTATAGACTTTTTAACTTAATGTCTGTTGACAGGTAACCGATGAACTTTTTGATGAAATTGCAACTAAAGTTCTTAATGAAGATGTCCTCAGCATTGAAGGTCAGGTCTTTATTAATTTCCCTCTATCAGTTCGGGCACATTTTTTGAGACTATAAGTTTGTATTGTTACTTTTGCCAGCTGAACCTGATGCTACTCTTTCTAGTCATAAGTTGTCAACATCTGCTCATGCTGTTTTAACTCCCAAGGCCTCTGCTAAGGTTCTTTTACCATTTAAAACTATAGAAGCAGATTCTGATGATGGCAGCAAGAAGTCTAGCTCTGGTTCCCCTGGGAATGTATTGGGTCTTGCTAACTATGAATCTGATGATGATAATGAAATCCAGAGTACTGTTAAGCAGAATCCCAATGAAGATAGCTGTACTGACCAATCAATTGCTATAAAGCAAGTGGACGCCAAGAATCTAATTGGGAATGGAAGTTCACTTAAGAAAATTGAAAAAGTTGGTGGTTTTTCTGATAATGTAGAGCATGCTAGAAAAGGGAGTCCTAATTTTTCATCAATTAATCATGGCAAACTTGCTTCACAGTCAAGTGATGGCAGAGCATCTATTGAATTGGTGCATGGAGATTCTCAACCTTCCTCAAAGGCAAAGTCAGGAGTTTTAGAAGAAAACCTTGCTGAGGAAGTGCCTGTTGAAATTGAAGGGAAAAATGGAAGTGTTGATAAGAAAAAGAGAAAAACCGAAAATTCTCATATTCAGGAGAGCCAAAATAAATCAGGTAAGAGTAATTCCCGTGACAACACTGCAGCTGATTCTAGTAAAGGAAAACACAAAGACAAAGACAATGTCAAGGACAGAACATTTGAGAAGGAAGATTATAACCATAAGAAGCATGATAGACATGTTAAAAATGAAAAATTCAATGATCCAGATCAAAAAGATAAAGTGAAGGATAAAATTGTCAAGTCTGGGGAAAAAGAAAATGAGTCGGATTCAAGGAGAAGAGCTTCTATTGATACCAAGGAAGGTAAGGGGAAGACAGATAGGGAGGGCAGATCAAGTACTAAAGGAGATAGCGGCCGAAGAAGAGAAAAAGTTAAGGATGAAAAAAGAGAAAAATCTAGACGCAAAGATGCAAGTGACTCTGGTAAACATAAGAGACAGCGCTCCTCTTCTGTTGGCAGCAGAGGTAGAGAAAGTAAGGATAATTTAGTTAGCTATCCCACTGATTCAAGTGATGAATCTTCTGATGATTATAAAAGGTTTGCTTCTATTTATTTAATTCTTTCAGTCTCTGGATTTACATCCATGATTCATTTCTTAACTATTTCTATGGGGCGTGCCTGCAGGAAGCTTTATTCAAGAAGACATAGATCACCTTCGCCTGTCAGGTCGAGGAAAAGGTACATTTTGAGGACCTCAACACATGTTATCTTGTTGACCTGTACTGTGCTATGATTTTGTTTATCTTTACTGATGTTTTGGCTTGTATCAGTCTCTTCTTTTCTATCATGAAATACTGCAATTGTTGGGTTCTATTTTATTTTGTACGGACATTTTTCTAGCCTTGGTGTCAAGGGTGTTTTATTTTTGGCAATTTCTTGAATTCTTTAGGTATAAAAATGTGTGTGACTATTATGAAAAGTAGATACACGGTGATGCTGCTGGTGTCTAACTGGGTTCGTGCTGTGTAGATATTGAAATTGTATCTAGCATTATTGTTCCTTTCTTTTTGTTTTTCTTTGGTTCTTTTTGTTTCTTCTGTGGGTCTTTTTTTTTTTTGCCAGGTGGGGGGGGGGGGGGGGGGGGCGGTGGATGTAATTCCAATTTTAATCCCCTCTATTCAAAATCCTTATAGAGAGATTTATGGATAATTGATGTAGTGATTTATAGAGATATAGTATATACTAAAATTGAATTTTGTTAGGTTAAGTGGTTAACTTTTTTAGATGGTGAGGCTTCAGAAAAATGTTTAGAAAAGCTTCAATAGGAAGTAGGAACAATCTTGAGCCTAAGTATGCATGTGTGTGTTTATTGAGATATTATATAGCTGGTTTTGTCTGATTCCTGGTTCACTACCATGGGAATAGACTGACATCACTATGGTTTGGATCCCAGTCTCTTCTTTCCTGGTCTGAACCACCAGCCCAATATTTCATCCATAGTCTTAAATTGCATAAAAGTTGTTTTGACAGCATCATTTTACACCAAAGTGTCACCATTTCTTTGGATGGATGGAATCCACATATAGAACTTTACCTATGAATCAGGTTCATCCATCGAGGTGTTGTTTCTTCCATCCAGATTCAAGTAATTGCTTGTAAGAAGTCCCAATTTGTTAATTTAAAATAGCAATAGGTGTATTAGAACTAGCGAAAGGTATACATAGCAATGATAGCATATCTTAAGAGGCCAAACCTTTTAACCCATTTTAGACAAGGTTGAGAAATTCACGTCCAGAAATTTCTTTATGCTTTCACTCACTGGCTTAGCATGCAATGTTTTCATTTATAGACAAGTTTCGAGGTCTCCTCATAGCAAGCACTCTCAGCGCAGGCATTCTCCCTACTCTTCTCTTGAGACAACCAGGTATGCCGCTTAGTATATTCTTAGATATATCATTTCTTGATATTTTTGGATAACCTGCCATCCCAACAGGTGAAACTTGATAGTCTGGTTGTCAATAGTCCTAGGAATATTATTATTTTGCTTATAAACTGGTTCAAGTTAACTGCAGGAGTAGGAGGTCAAGATCGAGATCTAGGTCAAGGTCTCCAGCCCGTCGGAAGAGATGAAGGTGCGGGGCGACTGTATTAAGGTCGATGAAACTTGTTGAATGTCGGATTTCTCGCGAGATAAGAGGATTTGTTTGCCCATTTGTTACCGAGGGATTTGCCTTATCATCGATTTCAATTGGCAAGGAGAAGAGGCAGGTAGTTGCAATTTGGAGAGGAAAGATTTTGGATGTGTTGTCTGTATTTTTCTGTTTTTTTTTTACCCCCACCAAATAATATATTGTTCTGAGTTGTGGCATATTTAGGCTTGAATGAAATGGTTTGTGTACTCAAAAAGTTGATAGTATTGGCATCCATTCACAGCTTATTTCTTAGAGCAACCACATTTGTGATTTGATGGATTTTTGCAGAGAAAAAACTAAAGAGGAGTTTTTGAACAAATGGGGAGGTTTTTTTTTTTGTTACAGCAAGTTTAAGATTTTGTGGGCTTCATTTTTTGTTAAATTGACACGCAGATCGGCTGTCTGGTGCACTGCTGTGCCCAATATGGCGTGCGTCTAATGACCTTTGTTGTCATTGCAAAAACTTTAAAAAAAATCATAACTAATGAGGTTGCTCTTAGATGTTATTTTGTTCTTGACATATTGAAAGTATCTTGTGGTTTGACAGTGGTCTTGTTTAATAAATGACTGTTAGTTGATTGTGTTAATTAAAGTGTATAACTAGTTGATAACATTAGTTGATTGTAAAAAGTGTTTGGTAAATTAGCTGTTAATTGTTTGGTATAATTTCTTTTTCTAAAAAAACTAATTGAAAAAGTTCTGGAGTTACGAAAAGTTAATTAACCAAACACCTTTTTTTTTTACCAAGTCAAATAGCTAATAGTGGTCAGATAAGTTAAAATTGACCTATAGGTTAACTATTTTATCAAACAGGACCAATATCACTGTTATCATTTTAAATGAAAAGTCATATGTTCAAGTTTCATTCTAATCAAAGATGTTGGTGTAATTATGTAAAAAAAGACCTGTATCATTAAAGCAATTGAACGATCAAACAAAAAAGTGTTTAATTGGATCATTAAAAACTCAAAATTGTAAAAATAATATTTTTTACAGGTTATTTCCAAGTTTATCTTAAATATAATGTTATAATGTCAAATTATATATATAAATTATTTTAATTATTATTTTAAAAAATTAAAAGAAAAAAAAAACAATTTTTTTTTTTTTTTAATTTCAGAAGGTGGAAAAAAATTGCCATCGAATACATACCTTGTTGTATGCTCTTATAAAGAGTTGTCAGCACCTTCAGATCCCGAATGTCCCAGATGGGTCAGTATAGTATTTGTGTACCAAAATGGCTTTCATAAGTCGACATTTATTAGTTCAGTAGTCTCCCAAATTTATTTTATCAAAAAAAAAAAATTTTTTGAAGAAAATTTTATCAAAATTGATTCACAGTTATTTAACAAATTTGCAGCATATTCATCACCAAATTCTTTTAATAAGACACTGTCTAAATTTTAGAGCTAGAAGTGTTGATAGGCTGGTCTCATGTAATCCCTTGAGAACATTTTATGATGTACAACCTACAAACACCAAAGATCCCAAGTCTGGTATCGAATAGGATGAGAAATGAGCAAATTCAACACACAAAGGAAAATGCTGACAAAGTTCATAGAGGAAGTTAAAATTTTCTCATCTTTCACTATTGTTGTATAAAAATATGAATATTATATTTTGGTTCATCCATAATAGAAAAAGGTGGAGGTAGCCACTGGGAACAAAACTAGTTATACAAAAGAAGAGGACTAGGACAACGCCTACGAAACAACCACCGTAAAAAATCCGATCACCAGCCAAATCCAACTCTTGAATGGCAGAGAGCATGTTACCCCAGAAAGCCTCGGCCCATTATGAGTTATGACGAATGCTTCGCTACAGGCTGATCAGCTCCCATTAGTCAAGGAAGAAGATAGATCTTCGGAGAGGGTGTTCAACGATGGCTTAGATACGCAATGAAAAAGTTGAAGAAGTCTGAAATGCTTAGCAGAGGACAGATTTTGAATTTCAAACTTTCTTGTTAAGCTCGAGGGAATTAATTTCTTACCAATGAATTGGATGTTCTCCCACATTTCCTATTTTTGTCCAGATGTACAAGTTGCAATTATATTACTCCTTTGCATGAATCCGCTCATGAAGGTTGTTCGTCGCCGGAAATGGAGAGAAGCTCAAGGGGTAGTGAGTAAAATAACTAAAATATCCTCATTATTTGACTTATTAAATTTTTCTGGTGAGATTTGACCGTCATGACCAAAATGGATAGAAATTGCATAGTCAAATACTAAATTAACATTTTTGAAAGTCAAAGTGTTGCAATTAACACAACTCCAATAGTCATTGGACCAAAATTAAAATTTTCTCTAATTTTTTTATATATAATTTGACATTATGACATCATATTTAAGAGAAATTTGGAAGTAACATGTAAAAATGATATTTGCACAATTTTTGTGTTTTTAATGATCCAATTGCACTTTTTTTTCGTTCGATGGTTCAATATTTCAATTGCACAATATTTAAAAATTTAGTGACCTATTTGACACATTTTCCTTTATATTATAAATATAATAATAATAAAGTAATAATAAAATAACAAATTAAAATTAAAAAGAAAATAAAAGTCAATTGCAAACTTGCTATTATAGCAAGCTTGCAAGTCACATAAGCGAGTATATTTTACATGGACTCTCAATTTCTACTCTCTATGACATGACATACTTTGATTGCTTAATTTAATAAGGAGTTATGCTGTTTATCCCTTCCTTTGTTTCTTCCTCCAATCAAATTTGAACACAAGTGGGAGTAAAAGTTGGAATTAGGTTTTTGAGAGTCTATGAATTATTTTTCGTTCAAGAAAAGTGTAAATTTAGTGAAAAATATTATGTGCACTCTTATTTTTTACTCCCAATTTTTACTACCACACACAAAATTTTAATGTAGACATTTGTATTGGAACCCATATGAAAAAAGTAATTTATCAAAGTCTGCCATATTATAAAATAAAATTGAGAGAGTAAGATATTTGAGAGTACATGTAATAAAACTCAAATTTAGTTCCTAATTATTATCATGACATTGACTTTTTATTCTTTTGGTCTTTTAAGTTAGATAAGAAATGTGTAAATTTAGTTTCTAATTATAATCATTGAGAGATATATAATGGTTATTTTGGTTTGGTTTTTCAAAAGGTAAAATTAGCTAGCTATTATAATAATTAAATAGCTATGTATTATAATAATCAATTAGTGACTAAAAAGAATGATTTTTCGTAATATATTTTAATACATGTCAGGTAATGCACTGTCACCTAATCCATTATTATTTTTGAAATTGCAAGATACCCACCCCACCCAAGGTGTTCAAATATAATTGACTTCATCGGTTTCATTTTAATGGTCAAACTGTTTTTTTTTTTTTTTTTTTTTTGAACTTATTTAGTTTAGTATTTTTTTTTTAGTTATTTTTAAATTTATATTTTTGTATTTAATAATATTTTAATGTAATTTTAAATAAATACATTTTATATACTAATACTATTAAATTTAACCTTTTGAAAAATTAAATTAAATAACATTGAGTAAACACAAAATAGGACTTGGAGAGAGAAGAAAATGGAACCTGGACTAATAAAAGAGTAATACTACATGTACTCCCACTTTTTACTCCATTTTGTACTCTCTGCTGAAGTGTCATTATTTGATTGGTTTAAATAACAAAGTGGGCCATTGATTTTCTTTTTTCACTTGAATTCATTGGTACATGTGGCGGATGTTTATACTCCATGGGAGTACATATAGTATTTTTCCTAATAAAAAGATTGCATTTTTCTGAGGTTTTGACTTTGGGGGGAAACCACTCGTCTATTCGGATTTCGGAGGCGGCTCCGCTTGCAGTTTCAACGCCTACCTTTCAAAAGTTATTATAGCGCAATATATATATATATATATATATATATATATATATATATATATATATATATATATATATATATAGGGTCAGGTTCCTGTGAGGTCAGGTCTTCCTGTGCGGTTAGTGTGGCATACACCATTAGTATGCATAAATGCACCACACAATATTCCTAAATATACCATTATGTGTGGTGTATTTTTTGACATTTCATTCTAGTGTATTTTCGAATACTGTATGATGCATTTATGCATACCTAATGGTGTATGCCGCACTGACCGCATGGAAAGACCTGACCTCACAGGAACCAATATATATATATATATATATATATATATATATATATCAAATGCAGACAAATTTTTCCTACGGACTGCACTATCGGATATGCATAACAACGTGATCAAAAATATATAAAAGCACCACAAAAATGTACCATAGCCTGGGAGGTGCGATCATACACATCCACGTATGCATAAATGCATTATCATGTGTTTAGAAATGTATGCATTGCATACCTGGTATTGCATGGTAGCATGACTGCACGGAAAAGTCTGTCCGTACAAGATTTTATATATATACATATATATATATATATATATATATATATATATATATATATATATATATATATATATTATTTTTTTTGGAATAATTTATTTATTTTATTTATTTATATATATGGCGGCATGACCGGAAAGGTCTGTCCGTACAAGAATATTATATATATATAGTATGTAATATGTATGCAATGCATGATCCGAGGAGCGCCTCACATGCCTGCCTGCCAGCCAGCCAGCAATCGCGCCATTTGGGTGTGTGTGGAGGTTGCAACCTTTTCACGTTTCTAGCGTTTTGCTTCTCATGGCTCAGTTGCTTGCTCATACCCCAAATTCATTGATGAAACAATATCAGAACACCTCTTCTTCATCATCAACTCTTCTCATTAATTTTTAATTTTTCAACCTGCAACAATGAAGTTCAACTCTTCCGTTTTTACTCCCCGTTTCTACTACAACAAGGTAAAAATGTAAATTAAACTCATAAACTAACTCTTCATTTTACGTTTCTTTTGTGGGTGTGTGTGAAGCTAGTGAATCTGATTTACAGGCATTGGTACAAGGGCTTTGGTTGATATGGGCATTTGGGTTTCTGTTGATTGGCGTATCCTTGTATGCAACTCAGCTGTTGCCTTCGTCTTCTCTCAAATATCATCACACCAAGAATCTGCTTGGTGATTTGGGTGAAATTGGCCCTAAAATCACCATTTTTACAGCTCCCAGACCTTTTGATGGTGTGGTTGGGGAAACGCAGAATCTTGCTGTTAGATCATGGCTTGGCTTATCACCTCACATTAACGTTGTGCTTTTCACCCAACACCCTTCTGCTTTCTCTTTTGCTAAACCATTTGGTTCCCGGGTCACCGTTCAGCCCAACATTGATTTCTCGTAAGCCCCTTTCTTTAATTTGCATTTTCAATGCCTATTAATTGTTAATGTTAATTAGTATCTAGTGCTTATTACTATGCCAAAAACTATAGCTACTATGGGTAACCCAACCAGGATGACAAGAGATCTACACTTATAATAACGAGGACACGAGTTTGACTTCTTGTCCCCTTAATTGTTTGAGCAGTCAGTTATAGGTAACCTAGGCTAGTTTACTTTCTTTTGGTCCTTTGTTAACTAGGCTCATAAGGCAAGGTTTACTTACATTCGAAAAAAAAGTTATAGCTAGCAGTGAATGCGCAATTTTATTTCTTGACCACCATCACATTTTTGAAGGTGAGGGCAAACTTTTATGTCACCATGATACACAGTGTTGTGTGGACCATAAAAAAAGTACATTTTTAATATATTAAAAGTACATTATTTGTGTATTGAATGTACATTATTTGATAGTATATAAAATAATATACTTTTAGTACTCAAATAATGTACTTTTTATTCGTGGACATGGTTCATAGAATAATGATTGGAGAGCCCGGCTGTTGGACTTAGTTATTTACCGGTCTTCGCCCAACAATTTCCCTAGTCACATGGAGCTGGACGTGGCCCTTACCGGCCTCTGCCCAACAGGCTGGACATGGCCCTTACCGGCCTCTGCCCAACAGTTAATAATAATTAAGTTCAGAAAAAAAAAGCAGCATCTATGTAATGTAGGATCACTTATTCAGCATCTTGTGTTTTGTGAACAGACATACAGACATGGTGAAATGGAGAATCTTATGTGTGCCTGAATGTTTTTGTTTCTGTACAGATTCATTGGTACACCATTCTTTCACTCTATGGTGGCCAATTCACAGGCATCCTCATCAGATGTTTCTGTTTTGATTCATCCTCAAACTGTTCTCTTGTCTGACTTCATTTTGACTGTGAGACATGCTTACAAACTTGATCATGATTGGCTCCTTTTCGCGTCGTCTAGAAAAATTTCCTACTTCCCATTTCACTTGGATGCAGATGGAAAACAATGGCTCACAGATGATGATGATGGCACGTTGGTTGATATTGACAAGGTACGTATGAAGGAACCTGGTAAATAAATACTTATTCAGTTGCATCATGGGGGGCATTGGGGAAATTACATATGATGTTAAATTGTGTGTTAGTATCAATAGCTTACCACTACGCCAAAAGTTATAACTAATAGTGAAGGCACAACTTTTTTTCCGTCACATTTCCTAGAGGCTAGATGCTGGAATTAGCCTTTTAAGCCCTAAGCCCTTTACCGGCCTCTGCCTAGCAATCCCAAGTCCTACCGGGGGTGCTGTACTTGACCTTTTAAGCCCTTTACCAGCTTCTGCCTAACAATCCCACCGGGTGCTGGACTTGACCTTTTAAACTCTTTACTAGCCTCTGCTTTGGACTTGACCTTTTAACAATCCCACCAGGTGCTAGACTTTGCCTTTTAAGCCCTTTACCGGCCTCCGCCCAACAATCCCTAGTCATCGAGTGGATTTGGTCCTTACCGGCCTCCGCCCAACAGATACACCAATGTATTTATAGGCCGCACAACTCAATATACTCCACTCATATTCCTTATATAAGACAAACTCCTATTTCTTATATGAGACAAACTCAAAATTCTGTAATCTTTGCACAGATGCAGGGACTTCTTTCAAAGGAACAGCAGTGGTACCCTTGTCAAGGACAGATTCTAATTGCCTGGAACAATGCAGCAGATATTCCCCTGCATAATGGGATCCTCCCACCTTTTCTATATGGAAAGGGATTTCACAACCTTTGGGTTATCAATGAAGCTTTTCGATCTGATTTCAGATTTGTCTTTGATGCTAGTTGGGCCATTTCTAATTTATATCTCCATCACCCTGACCTGAAGTACAAAAAGTCAAGTGAAGGATTAATGATGGATACAGCTCCTGAAGAAAGAATTTGGGAGTTTATGGGGAACTCTCTCCTGGCTACACAGTACGGATCATTGTATTTCCATGAAACCACATTTTCCAACTTGTTTAGATTGTTTAAGTGTGGAGGGCACTATCTTTTCGCAAACACTGCAGAAAACATTGTTTACCGTCTAGGATACAAGAAACCATTCAGCTTAAAGAAGAGTTGGCTTATGCATAAATCAACAGAGGAGGAGAAGATTTTAAATTGTATTGCTTCTTTGGAATCAGTAGACAGTATTAAAGACTGCTCTCTCATGGATCAGCTCAATCTGTCAACACCGATTTCGCTTCCACTACCATTTGAATCTTTACTTTCAATGTGTGCTGGCCAGAACAAGACGGTTGTGCTGGCAGTTGTTGGATACAGTTACAAGGACATGCTAATGAGTTGGGTGTGCAGGATGCGGCATCTTCAGATATTTAACTTTTTAGTATGTGCCCTTGACAATGAAGTCTATGATTTCTCTATCTTACAGGTAGTATCTTGTCTTCACTGCTTCTCTGAGCTTAACTTTAGGGTTGATGTTAGGACATTTTTGAGACGTTGGGTGCTGGACTTGGCCTTTTAAGCCTTTTACCGACCTCTGCACTTGGCCTTCTAAGGCCTTTACTGGCCTCCACCCAACAATTCCCACCTCCCAGCACCCACCAATCTTAAATGTTATTGCTGAGCACCAACCAGTCTTCGGCTCTTATACCCAGGGTTGTAAAAATCCCGCCTAGGCACCGAGTAATCGGCGCCTAGGCGCTAGGCGCCCATAGGCCGTGGCGATTTCCGCCCTAGGCTCCCGCCTAGGAAACCGGCCGCCTAGCGCCTAATTTAGCCGCCTAGCGCCTAGTTCAGCCACCTAGTGCCTAACTCGTCCGATTACGCCGAGTTAACTCGTCAATTTCTGTCGAGTTAGTCGAGTTAACCTGACCGACTCGACCTTGCTAATTTTTTCCATTTATATGACATATACATATAATATGACATATATACACTCGTAGACTAGTTTGATACTTTCAATCTTTGGATGATTGAAGTATTTGGGTATTTCATTTGAGTTTTTATTTTATTTTATAATATTCTTTTGATGTTTTGACTTATTAATTGTCATTATGTCATTTATTTGGATGTGTTATTTGATTGAATGTTGAAAACAGCCTCATTAAAATTGTCAAATTGCAAGTCTGGTATTGTTTTTTTCGCGACCGCCTAGCGCCGCCTAGATTCCGCCTAGGCGCCGACTAGGCCGCTTAGGCGCTAGGCGCTGCCCGGGCGCCCGACTAGCGCCCAGCGCCTACTGCAACCATGCTTATACCACTTGTTAGGATCAAATGCTTACTATTACGCCAAAAGCTATAGCTAGTAGCGAAGGTGCAACTTTATTTCCTTATAGACCGCCATCACATTTTCGAGACTCGGGTGGTATACTTGGCCTTTTAAGCCCTTTACTGGCCTTCGACTAACAATCTCCAGCCACCGGGTGCTAGACTTGGCCTTTTACCGGCCTCCACCCAACACTTGATATCCAGGGTTCCTTCTTGCAGTTGATGGAAAACTTCCATTGTTGTAATATATTTTGTTTTACTCACCATTGCAAAATTTGAACTTAGTGCTGATTGCATATATCTCTGTTGCTGCCTTTCTTAGCAGCACAATTTAGTTTAATGTTTGAACCTTCTCCCTTCTTTAGAATGCTAGTTTCTTGTCCTTATCACTTTGTTACTAAAACTATACAATGGAAATCTGTATGCTAGGGCCTTCCTGTCTTTAAGTATTCGTCTATTGAAACGAATATCAGCTTTGATGACTGTCACTTTGGAACGGAGTGTTTTAAAAGAGTAACCAAAATCAAGTCCAGAATGGTTCTGCAGATACTGAAGATGGGCTACAATGTACTAATGAGCGATGTCGATGTTTACTGGTTTAAGAACCCGTTGCCCTTGCTTAGCTCCTTCGGGCCAGCAGTTCTAGTGGCACAATCCGATGAGTACAATGTAACAGGTATTTTATTACTTCAAAAGATTGTTGTGTCCGTACTAAATGATGAAAATCAGTAGGATTTTATATGTAGATTCATAATTCCAGTCTCGTATAATTCGGATGCAAGTAGAAGACGATTTGTCATCATTCCTTATGTAATTTGGTTTATTATGATAAATCATTTTATCTTCTCCTTGCAGGGGCAATCAACTTGCCTAGACGATTGAACTCTGGTTTCTATTACGCCCATTCAGATCGGGCTACAGTTGCTGCGTTGGAAAAGGTTGTTATGCATGCAGCAACTTCAAATCTGTCAGAGCAGCCGAGCTTCTATGATGTATTGTGTGGTGAAGGTGGATCGAATCGTATAGGTGATAATAGATGCTCAGAACCCGAAACAAATCTTACAGTTCATTTCTTAGACAGAGACCTCTTTCCAAATGGTGCATACCAAGGTCTATGGGAGGAAAGAAATGTCAAAGAAGCTTGCGTGAGAAGGGGTTGCTTTGTTCTCCATAACAATTGGATTAGCGGGCGACAGAAGAAACTGGAGCGTCAGGTATTATCAGGACTATGGGATTACGATATCAGCACTAGGATGTGTCTGAAGAGCTGGCACGATACCAAATCCGTGAGTTATTTTTGAAAACGAATGGGGAAATGAATGAGCTGCCTGTCTGCTTTGTGCTTCTTGGGCACCAGACCATGATGTTTATCTACTAAGACTTTGCAAGTCACAAATGGAAATTGTTGGGTGGAGGGAGGCCGGTAAAGGGCTTAAAAGGCCAAGTCCAGCACCCAGCGTCTCGAAAATGTGATGGCTGTCTATAAAGAAATAAAGTTGCGCCTTCGCTACTAGTTATAACTTTTGGCGTAGTGGTAAGCGCTTTCAGATGGAAGAACTGTGGTAAGCGCCTTCGCTACTAGCAAGAAGGTGGCATAGCATAGCAGATAACAGAACTGTGGAAGGAAAGTCAGATGGAAGCCAAGTTAAGGAGCTTTCTCCACAGGTATTTTCTTTGCCCATCTGATCTTGTCTACTCTCTTCTGGTATGCCTATTTCTTTTTTTTTTTTTTTTTTGCATTCTTACTACATGTCATACTGTGATTTTTATGTTAGAGAGCACTTATAAATCATTCTCACACGATTGTGTTAGGATCAAGCGCTTACCATTTACGCCAAAAGCTATAGCTAGTAGCAAAGACACAACTTTATTTCCTTATATAGACATGGTTTAAAAAATCGTTAGGCACTCCTCGGGCGCCTAGGCGGCGATTAATCAGTGCCTAGGGCGCCTAGGCGGCGATTAATCAGCACCTAGGTGCCCGTGCATTTTTTATTTTATATTTTAACTTTAAAAATTTGTTTAAAATTTTTTAAGACTTAATAATTATAAACTATTTAATAATTTAATAGTTAATACTAAAATATTAAATATTAACCTAAAAAACATCTAGAGTATGAACAATTTAGGGTTATCTCGTTCAAAATGATGTCGTTTTGAGTGAAATAACCCATTTAAAAAAGAAGGGAACAATGGCTAATCCGCCGACTAGGCGACCTAGTCAGTGCCTAGGAGGCCTAGTCCGCGCCTAGGAGGCCTAGGCGATCAACACCTAGTCGGCCAGCCGCCTAGACCACCGATTTTGGTGATACGTTAGGCGGCCGGCCAGCGCCTAAGCGCCGATTAATCGGTGCCTAGGCGGGATTTTTGCAACACTTAATTATAGATTGCTATTACATTTTCGAGACGCTGGGTGCTAAACTCGGCCTTTTAAAGCTTTAACCGGCCTCCGCCCAACAATCCCCTAGCCACCGGGTGCTAGACTTGGCCTTTACCAGCCTCCGCCCAACAAATTGCTTATATGTTGCTTACTGTTATGTTAACTATGGTATGAATGGTGATTTGAATGAGAAAGAGGACAACTTAACTGCCTCTAGTTTTTGCAGACAGTGCATATTCAATATTTTACATCATGATGGCAAACATTCTGTTGATTTTTGAGGGAAAAAAAACTTCACACTTAGTCTCCTTCAGCTTCTTCTTGATTGTTACTAGCTGATGAATTACTTGATTGATAAATATGTAGGTGTTAAAAATTCATCTTTATTTGCAGCAAAGACTTAGACTTAGCTCAGTCTAGGCAATTACATTAAGTTCCAAAAATTGATGTGATTTTTAATTAATCACATACATGAAGAACAGAAGAAGTGTTCCATGTTTTAATCTTCTTTCTAATGTTTTCATTAAAGCATGCAAGACAATAGCTTAGTCAATACCCATGTGTAGATAACGGCTAAGGTGGCGCCAACAGGAATAGTCACTACCCAAGAAGTTACGATCTCCCTTACTGTTTCTGCTCTTACGCTGTTTAACCCCCTCGCGAATCCTACCCCCATAACAGCGCCCACTAGAGTGTGGGTAGCTGAGATAGGTAGCCCGAGCTTGGAAGCAACGAGAACCACCGATGCAGCTGCAAACTCGGCAGCAAATCCTCTTGTTGGTGTTAGTTCTGTGATCTTCTTCCCGATGGTCGATATCACTCTGTAGCCCCACATCGCTAGCCCTGCAACAATCCCGAATCCACCCCAAGCCAGAACATCATTAGGAATAACAATCTGAGTCCCGTTAAGTCCACCTTGAAGGATTGTTAGTGCTGCAGCCAAAGGGCCTATTGCGTTGGAGACATCGTTCCCACCATGAGCAAATGACATAAAACAGGCCGAGAGGACTTGCATGTACCCAAACACTCCATAAACTATCTCTAGTTGGGTTCCCTTGGGCCCTGCAATATCTGAAAGGAATCCTATATTCTGGACAGTTTCTGCCTTAGGTTCTGCAGATCCATTTGAATTAGTTTTGACCAGGAGGTGACCTAGTTGTCTCCTAATGATTCTGTCAACTACTATAGCACCAATACTGCCAATTGCTAGAGCCTGGGCTAGAGCTATGGGAAGTGTCTTGCTGAGAGGGAAGGCTGAAAATGAGATCCCGGTAACGCCAAGAAAGACAGCAATTGGCGCAGCAGCAGCAGCAGCTTGCCCGGGATTCTTAGCGCTGTAAACGAACTAGAAATAGCAAATAGAACGAGAATTAGGGATCGCATAGTAAGTAATTTGTTAAGATCAAGTGCTTACCACTACGCCAAAAGCTATAGCTGATAGCAAAGGCGCAACTTTATTTCTTTATAGACCACCATCACATTTTCGAGAGGCAGGGTGCTGGACCTGGCCCTTTACCAGCCTCTGCCCAACAATTCCCCCTCCCAGCATCTACTAGTCTTAACTGCACAGTTTTTGTGCGCTTACCACTACGCCAAAAGCTATAGCTAGTAGCGAAGGCGCAACTTTATTTCTTTATAGACCGCCCCTTCACATTTTCGAGAGGCAGGGTGCTGGACCTGGCCCTTTACCGGTCTCTGCCCAACAATTCCCCCTCCTAGCATCTACCAGTCACTGCACAGTTTTTGCACGCTTACCACTACACCAAAAGCTATAGCTAGTAGCTAAGGCGCAACTTTATTTCCTTATAGACTACCATTACGTTTTCGAGAGGCAGGGTGTTGGAGTTGGCCCTTTACTGGCCTATGCCCAACAATCCCCCTAGCCACCAATTGCTGAGCTTGGCCCTTTACTGGCCTCCGCCCAACATAATTCTGTAGCCGCCTAGCAGGTAATTAGGTTACATGTGATGGCTAATGCATTCTGAAGAAACAAAGTAGTTTCTGTACTTGAGAGAATATAGTGAGTACCATACCCTGCGGATGCATTTGTAGACAATGAATGAAACCATTGCTCCCAATAGAGGTGAGATTACCCAGGAACTAGTTACCCTTGCTAGTGAACTCCAGAATACAGCACCAGTTCCTCCATATGCAAGACCAAATCCAACCATGGATCCTACTATGCAATGTGTTGTAGAGACTGGCCAACCATAATATGATGCAACCTGCATTGTGTATAGGTGATTTTGAGCTTTAGGAATGTCTGCATTTCTGAATTGAAATTGTCAAAACCCCACGGTTTTAGAAAATAGTTGCTAAATTCATATTCTGACATTCCCAGACTAATTGTATTGTAAGAATTTCTATTTGGACATCAACATGTTAGCCAGAATGGGAGGAAAGCTTATCCTTTTGTCACAGATGAATGAATATTAGAGTTCATTGCACACACCATTATTCTGACTTTCATAATTACGTTATCAAAGAAGTTTACTTACCTGCCAGTCTTAACTGCATAGTTTTTGCTTCCCCCTCCCAGCACCTGTCAGCCTTAACTACACAGTAGACTCGAATCCGTAACCTGGCTCTAATACCACTTTGTTAGGATCAAGTGCTTACCACTACGCCGAAAGCTATAGCTCATAGCGAAGGTGCAACTGTATTTCCTAATATACCGCCACATTTTCGAGAGGCAAGGTGCTGGACTTTGCTCTTCACCAACCCCCTCTCAACAATTTCGCTAGCCACCAATTACTGGACTTAGCCTTTCACTGGCCTCCGCCCAACAACATCATATATTCTTGTTTGATTGGTGATCCAAGGAAAGATCTTCTTCTCTGCTTTAATGTTCCTTAGTATAACTCCTATCAATATAATGTACACATATTTTTTTGCAAGACTTGATATGAAAATACCATTTAAAGGTTCATAATACAGTGAAGCGGCCCAATTTCTACTAAGTTCTTTAAGTATGAGTGGAAATATTGAGATATCTTGTAATTCTTTAGTGCTTCAATCTGAGTAGCTATTGACATGAAACTTTTCTAGATCTTTAACATTCGTAATTTCGTATATTTGCAGTTGATATGGACAATAATGAAGAAATGAAGATAAGAAAGTAGGACACACCTGCAGCCATGTTCCTGCAGCAGCCAATGAAGAAAGTAGACCAGCAAACAGCAGAGTATCCTTTCCTTGGAAAACATTGGCAACGAGAATTCCCTTCTGCATCGTACTTGTCACGTGTGTTCCCATCAACAATGCCCCTGAGAACTCCAAGATTCCAGCTGTCACAACGGCCTGTCTGAGCGACAAGGCGCCTGATCCGACTGAAGTCCCCATTGCATTAGCCACATCGTTGGCTCCAATGTTCCAAGCCATGTAGAACCCGAGCAAGAGAGTCACATACGACAAAACCTTGTGTTTGAAGGCCAATCCCGGGCCAAAAGACTTCATGAAAAAGGGGAAAGTCAAGGCTGCCAATGCGATACAGATTGATATAGCAGAAGCTGTGGTTGAAGATATGTTAAAAGCCTGCGCCATTCCAGGCATATTGTTGTCATCTTCAGAACTCGAACCTTCTTGATTATGCAGTCCTTTAGCTTCAAATTTCTCGTTCCTATCCCCCTCAGCTTCAGCAAAAGATGAAAGGGAAGCGAAAGGCGGGTGAATGAAGCTGGAGTTCCTCAATCTGACATGCGAAAGATTCAAACTCTGGGGCTTTAGAACTCTGGGAAGTTGTGTTTCATTGGGGATGATAACACAGAGCCTGTGTTCAGCAGGGATGTAAATATGAGATTTATGAACTAAGGAAAGTGTGTTTCTTGCAGAAAGGCACTGAGAGTAAGTCATGGCTAGATTGGGAAAGGAGAAGGCTGAGAGAAGCTGGAGAGACCAAAAAAGAAAAAAAAGAAAAAAGGGAAGAAGAAAGTAAGGGTGTCAATGAAGTTGATTCACAGCCATGGAATGTGGTCCAGGAGGAAAAGGAGAAGAGTAGTTGGTGGAGGATCAAGAGAATAGGGGTAGTTTTATCATGGATAAGTTTGTGTCTTTTAACATATGGATATAAATGAAATGAATGTTCAAATCCTTGGCTTTATGTATGGAGCACTCTTAAATCTTCTTGTCAATTGTCCCACCCAATAGAGGTGCTTACAATTCAGCGAGAGAATTAGTCTGTCCAACGGTGGAAACCCCGAGCTACACAAAAAAAAATTGAAATGGTAACTCATGGCTCAGCAGACAGGGTCGGATCTGTCCACTTTTGGCATAATCCTGACACTGCCGCTGTTGAGTTTATATTATTCTTCACATTGTCATCGCTGAGATTCGAACATTAATCTCTTCTCTCAAATATTATCTATTGAATCATTGAACTAAACCCGTGTGCGCAAAGAAAGTGCAGCCAACAAGATTCGAACCTATGAAATCTTGTTTTCATTATCTTCAAGAAAAAAGAAAGTCTTGTTTCATTTTTAATGTCAAGAAATCAAGCATCCTGGAGGAATGTGGAGAGAGTGGATTAGGGTTTGGTGTACTTTGAATGAGTGGTGATTATTGTTTCTCAAAGGGCCACACCATCTGCATGTCCACTAGTTTTTTAAGTCAAAAAATCACAACAAAATAAAACCAAAACTCTGATAAACGTTCACATTAACTAATTAAGGCTGCCATTTACTTTTATTCTTGGTTTTCTTCTTCTAATTTTCCATTTTTATTTTATGTTATGTTTTATAATTTAAAATATATGTTTACGAGCATTTATTTTTCAAATTCTTTTCTCTAGTTTTCCAATTACTCAAAGAATTAGAAAATTTCTCCTAGAGCAATCACATTTATGGTTTTTAAAGGTATTTTCAGACCAAAAAAAAAAAAGGCTTGGATTTTTAGGCTAATGGGAGGCATAGTTTTTTTCCCCAAATTTTTCTCATGCAAATACAAGTTCTTTGTGGACCCCAGAAATAAAGAAATTCACGTACTAAACGCACATTTCGAGCACAACCGTGCTAGATGGGTGTGAAGAAGTGCTTTTTTAATTTTTTCCTTTGTCAGAAATGTTTTTTTTTTCTCATTTTCTCTCTCATCTTTCCTACTTGAATTAGGGGTGACCGCGGTTCCGGTTCTGGTTCCGCAAATGGACAAACCGGAACTGGAACCTTATAATAAGGTTCCGGTTCCGGTTGGAATCGCCGGTTCTAACCGGATTTATTTTAAAAAAATAAATAAAAAAAACACTACTCTCTCCGTCCCATTTTGTTTGTCTGGTTCGGTTAACGAGGCTTGACTGATGCTATTTTTACTTCAATTTTTCATAATATTAAATTTATTTTTAGTATATAAAATTTATATATTTAGAAAGTACATTAAAAGTACTATTAAACATAAAAAATTAAATTTAAAAATAATTAAAAATTACTAAAGAAAATAAACAATGAAGAAAGAGTTAGATTGACCAATGATTATTTAGAACAAACTTAATATTTCAATTATGCTTTTCTATTATTCGAATGATTTAGGTCATTATGGTATTAATATTTTTTGTATTTTTTTTATAATGATACAATTGTACATTACTTTACAAATATTATACTATTATTTTTTTCTCGGACAAAATTGTTCTTACATCATTATTGTCCATATCACAACTAAAATCTCAGTCATATACGCAGCAATGCAAATCTAAAGCTTCCTACACCATAATCTCATTGCATGATGAATCTCTCTATGCTGCCACTAGTAACCTAATGGCACATGACACACTACCAACAAAAAAATAAAAAAGAAAGGACATTTACTGAAGATGGAAATAATGACAATGCTACCCAAAAGAGAATTACTAATAATTAGAGAAATTTAAATTAAAAATAGTATTTATTTAAACTATCGCTTTAAGACTAAGTATTTAGACTAGAGTTACTACAAAGTTGCAAACATTTATTTTAGTGACAATTATAATCAATCCCTCATATATTATCTTCAATTTATATACTTTAAATTACCGATTTAAGTAAACAAATTCAACATTTATTTACCTATGCATAAACATCTCTTATATAATATTGCATTGATATACTTTGAAATACTTATTTAAAAATAATCATTGGGCATTATCCCATACGCGTAAAGCGCGTAAAAAAACTAGTTTTATTTACTAATAAGAACCCAAGAGAGTTAGGTCTATAATGGGTAGAAAAAATGACGGTCAAATTTTTTAATTAAATGAATGACTCAGATTGATTCGATTTTAATTTTTCCTTTTAAGATTTCCTAATTTATCCTTAATGAATATGATTATCCGTTAACTTTTCCGTTAAATATTATCTTTTCCGTTAATTTTTGTTAGTTCACTGTTAACTTACTCATTGATTTCAATAAGAAAGGTCTTAGGTTCGAACCCCATCCCAATCAAAGTTGGCATAATTAGTATTCTATTTTACTCTTATTAAATTACTAGTTTTGTACGCGCATTGCGCAATTGGGATAATGCCCAATGTTTTTTTTTTTTTTTTTTTTTTTTTTAAACAAGTACTTTAAAATATATTAAGGCAAGATTATATTGGAATTTTTCATGCATAGATAATTGAATGTTGAATTTGCGTATTTAAATAGGTAATTCTAAATTTACAAATGCAAGATAATATAGTCAAGATTGATTATAATTGTCAATAAAATAATTATATAGGTATGATTGAAACCAAATACGGGACATAAGGGTGATCAAATAAAAATTAGAGCATAAAATATTAAATATATACTAATATTGAAGAGCTAACTGCTGATTGCCAAACAAGGACATCGCGAGGTAGTTTCCCACTTCAATTTGTTGTGTGATTTGAATACTCTTTTGTAAATAAATCCCCCAAGTAGTTAATATGATTGACTTAATTATAAATATATATATATTTAATTTTTTTAAAACAATTATTATTATTAAATATATGTATACCCTTAGGTCATTTTACATGTTAATCTAAACAGCTAATTTTTTCAAATATCTTTTTACCAACCGTTGATATAATTCGCTGGTCAAATCCGCTAACTGCTGATTGTCAAACAAAGACATTGCGAGATAGTTCTCACTTCAATTTGTTGTGTGATTTGAATACTATCTTTGTCAACAAATCCCTCAAGTAGTTGATATGATTGACTTTATTAATTATATTTTTTTAATTTTTTCATGGTATTAATAAAATATTTGGTAAATAAATATATAGCATTATTTTGTATTATAACTTTGATATTTAATTAAAAAAATAGTGCAAAAAAAGATAATAGACAATGTAGTGAATATAATCAATTGATGAATTTGAATGTAAAGAATTTTTACATTGGAGAAAAATAAAGACAATATAACTAATAAAATTATTTATCTTAATTAATTTATTGATAATGAATAATTTTTTTTTAAAATAAATACATTGTAGGGATAATGTAGCGAATATAATCAATTGATGAATTTGAATGTAAAGAATTTTTATATTGGAGAAAAGTAAAGACAATATAACTAATGAAATTATTTCTCTTATTAATTTATTGATAATGAATATTTTTTTTTTTGAATAAAGACATTGTAGACACATAATTCTAAATTAAAGAAATGCATATGTATTATTTTTAGTTGTAGCTACTACATTATTATTTAATTTAATAAGAATAAAATAGAGTACTAATTATGTCAACTTTGATTGGGATGGGGATCGAACCTAAGACCTTTCTTATTGAAATCAATAAGTAAGTTAACGGTGAACTAACATAAATTAACGGAAAAGATAATATTTAAAGGAAAATTTAACGGATAATTATATTCATTAAGGATAAATTAGTAAATCTTAAGGAAAAATTAAAATCTGATCAATCTGAGCCATTCATTTAATTAAAAAATTTTACCGCAATTTTTTCTACCTATTATAGGCCTAATCTCTTGGGCTCTTATTAGTATAGTAGATAAGGGAGAGCAAATAAAAATATAGGGCAAAAAATATTAAATATATACTAATATTGAAGAGCTAGCTGAGGACATTGCGAGATAGTTTCTCACTCCAATTTGTTGTGTGATTTGAATACTCTTTTCGTCAATAAATCCCCAAAGTAGCTAATATGATTGGCTTAATTTTATTTTTTTTTAAAACAATTATTATTATTATTATTATTATTATTATTATTATTATTATTATTATTATTATTATTATTATTATTATTATTATTATTATTATTATTATTATTATTATTATTATTATTATTATTATTATTATTATTATGTATACCCTTAGCTCATTTTACATGTTAATCTAAACATCTAATTTTTTCAAATATCATTTTACCAACCGTTGATATAATTTGCTGGTCAAATTCGCTAATATAATCCATTAACGCTAACCGCTAACTGCTGATTGTCAAACAAGGACATTGCGGGGTAGTTCTCACTTCAATTTATTGTGTGATTTGAATACTCTCTTTGTCAACAAATCCCCCAAGTAGTTAATATGATTGGCTTTATTAATTATATTTTTTTTTTAATTTTTTCATGGTATTAATAAAATACTTGGTAAATAAATATATAGCATTATTTTGTATTATAACTTTGATATTTAATTAAAAATAGTGCAAAAAAATAGACAATATAGTAAATATAATCAATTGATGAATTTGAATGTAAAGAAATTTTACATTGGAAGAAATATAATGACAACTAATAAAATTATTTCTTTTAATTAATTTATTGATAATGAATAATTTTTTTTAATAAAGACATTGTAGGGACAATGTAGCGAATAAGAATTTTTATATTGGAGAAAAATAAATACAATATAACTAATGAAATTATTTCTCTTATTTAATTTATTGATACTGAATAATTTTTTTCAATAAAGACATTGTAGACACATAATTCTAAATTAAAGAAATGCATATGTATTATTTTTTGTTGTAGCTACTAAATTATTATTTAATTTAATAAGAGTAAAATAGAGTACTAATTATGCCAACTTTGATTG